TCCCGTGGTCTTTGGTGCTTTCCCTTCGCTCCATGCTGCGGATTCCACCTTGGCCGCTCTGTTCATGAGCCACGTTTTCCCTCGGCTGAAGCCCCTCTGGGTCACCTATACCCTCTGGATGTGGTGGGCCACCATGTACCTGTCTCACCACTACGCCGTGGATCTGGTCTGCGGTGGTCTGCTCGCCACCGTGGCCTTCTACTTCGCCAAGACCCGCTTCCTTCCCCGGATCCAGACCGACAAGATGTTCCGCTGGGACTACGACTATGTCGAGATTGGTGACTCTTCTCGAGCATTCGGTTACGACCTCGCTAGCCTAGACGGGGACTTCAACCTGGACAGCGATGAATGGACCGTCGGTTCCTCATCCTCGGTCAGCTCGGGTTCGCTGAGCCCCGTTGACGACCACTACACCTGGGAGAGCGAGACTCTGACGTCGAACCACGACCTTGAAGCCGGTCGCTAAACCACCTCTCTCGACATGCGTATATCGTTTTTTCTGACTTTGTTCATTATTGCATTTTTATCCTTTTTTCTCTTCCCTTTGAGGGACGGCGTTACACTTTACGACAATTTTTGGGACCATCATCTGCATCGAGCCATTTTCGACACCTACGGCTTTTAATCACACCCCCTACTACTGTGGACCTCTCAGCATCAGGCGGTTCCCGACCCGCATAAGCTGGAGGTCCTACTCTTTACCTTTCTGGCTGTACCTGCCACCGTTCTCTCCTCCACTGGAGTTGAGCGTCATTTCCGTCTATAATCTTAATACCGGCGGCGGGCCCTGGTTTGCCTACCTGGGCTTTTGCGACTGCGGATGCATCTCAACCCCGCTCGCATCGCCACCGTTGGACACCTTCGCTTGTACAGAAAACGGACTCGCCTCGACCCTTTTTGTTCGAGACAGTCCATCACTTTTCGATTCTTCACTTCTCACTCATGTCTTTCGCTACGACCCCTTTTTTTCACTGGATGGACCTTTATTTTTACTATTCGCTTCACCGCTCATCCAGTTGCACAAACTTTTTTATCATTCGTGTCGATCGCTTACGAAATGGCGCCTGGGAACTTTTGGGATACGGTTACGAGGACTGGAAAAAAAAGTTTCGGCGCCTTGCTTGCACTATCACTCGCTGTGCATTAGAACATTTTTTGGTTGGACATTGGCTACTTCGAGCACATTTTTGCATTTGGTACATAGAAGGAGGATTGGGAGAGGAGAGACGATCTCCTTGGGGTGCCGTCCTCGCTGGCAGGTGTTATGATACTCTTGTCGATGGCATCCGGGCAGTTCTTGCCACGGCAAGAATCCTCCTTGGCGGGGTTTGAGATGACCCTTGAATTATTTGAACGATTGGGATGGAATTCTGGGCGACTGGGAGGTTGATGAGAGATGGGAATCTGGACGGAGTCCTCCTCTTTATGCCTGGCCAGGTTTATTTCGCCAATCATCGCTGGTGGCTTTCGGGAATAATGGCGTGAACCGAACTCAACTTTGATTCGAAACGTGCACCACACATACTATGCAACCCCCTCCACGACTCTTGATGTTTGACTCCTAATGTCTCCTCTTCTCTCCGTTTCCTTCCTAGGGATGGTGGTGGGTGCTTGTGTGGTTGACTTTTATCGTCTCTTGTCGGGTTATAGGGCTTGCAAGGCTCACGGTTGGTGGGTTTCATCGTTCGCATTATCCTTAATCCCTAGATGAAGTTATGAAGAATTGTACAGTATTATTATGTCATTGCGTGTGCCCTTTGTAAGCTTCTCGTAGTGGTTATCATTCTCTCTTGCTCACTGGATACAGTATACGTACTAGGTACGGACTTCAGTGATGCCATCTTATTAAAGGGCCACAAGCAACCAATATACACAGCTATCTCCCTCCCACCTTATCTTCGTAACATTGAACAACCCCGTATTCACTCGTTATACCGTCTTCTTGACCGTACCAATTACTCACAGTCATCCTGTATCGTATGGGATTCACACGCCCCCCGCCTTTCTGCTGATCACCCACTAGCATATGACTGGCCCAACCATCCTGCACGGGTCGATACCACGGGCCCGATGGTGCATGTGCCTTTCCGCGAGTGTCCGGAGCTAAACCTGATTCACTTCACCACTAATACTATACGGAGTACTCGAGTCAGAACTTTAGTGCTTAGGTAGCCTTGCTCAGGGTCAGGTGAGACGTTAACCGTGGACTCGGTGCACTTAAGTGCCTTTTGTGCTGGACTTGTGTTTACGCAGGGCTTAGCTGCACTTGCGCTTGGAGAGGGCGTGCTGTGCTCGTGCGTGTGCTCGTGCTAGCTTAATATTCTTCTTTGGGGGGACTACTCGTATTCGTCTAATTCGTTTTTTTTTTACTAGAATATGCAAGCGAGGTTTGTTTGGGATGTGATTGTGATGGTGTGAGGGTTTTGCGTCTGGCCCCATACCTATATGTACATGTAGGTTTTACTTTTGGAGGAGCGGTGCGTTGGATCGCTAATTCGTTCTGGGAAATCCTCAATTCTGCCGACCTTGTCTTATTGTGGGATTTTCTTACAGGAATAAATTCTGCTAGTAAGTACTTGGATAAATGGAGCGGATTGGCTGTATTATGTTTGCCCTTTTGAAAGTATCCTACGAATCTCTGTAGGAGAAATGGAATGGACATAACAAGAAACTAGCCAATGCGCGCCTGTAAAATTCATCAGAGTCTCTATATTATGGGTAGGTCTTATTCGTCATCAAAAATTTGTACACGCTCTGCATACTCGCGAATGTTCGACACAAATGTCTCCTCGATCTGGTCGCCTTTTCCGCCGGCGACGCGGAGGATAAGATCATTTAGTGAGGATCGACCGAGGATGTCGACGTGATCACCTGGGTTGATTAGATTGAGCTGAATGCACGGAAATTGAGAGAAGGGAGGGATGGTGAACATACCTGTGTTTGGTCCACCTCGCGGTGAGAAGCGGTCCGGTTCATGGGGCATCTCAAAGACCTTGATCTTCGAGCCCGCTGGATTATATCGCTTCATGCGCCAACCCTTGGCACACATGTAGCCCGTGCTGAGCAGGTTGACGGTACCATCACCTTCACCCATCATGACACCGTGATCGATATTTTCGTTAATGGTCACGGTCGTGTCGATGCTAACATTGAGGTTGACCAAGGGATCAAGCTCCTCCTGGTAGAAGTAGCTCCGCTCCGTGGGCTTTCCAACGCCATAGAAGCAGTAGATCTTCATATCCGGGGCATAGGGCAACCGCGCCTCGAGCGGGTTCAACCATGTCCGCGGGTCTTTCTCGTTCGCCTCGACTTCCCGCTTGGTATGGGCTACACCGTGCGAGTAGCTGCCCAGCACCTGCTCGCGGTACCAATCCTCACTCTGGTCCAGGAGGTACTGCAGACTCTCGCTCGTCGTAAGGTTGCGGCGTGTCCAGGAGGAGTTGGTCTCACGGAAGTTCAGCAGATTGCCGAAGCTGATCTCCTGCCCAGGCTGGTCATCCGGGGCCCAAGTTGCGTTGCCCCAAACGGCATCACCGCCCTTGGGCAGCATACTGGAAATGCCGGGCATGGCTCGGAAGATCTCTGCACGCTCTTCCTTCGACAGAAACTTCTCCAACCCATACACGGCGAAGGCATTCAGTTGTGCCGTATCGCGCATCTCGCCGGACAGCACGGCGGTCAGTCCTTTGACGGCACCGAGCATGCATCCACTGATGTTGACCCACGAGTCAATGTGCTTATTGACCCAGTCCTTGCCACCCTTGCCGTGATCTTCGCTTTCCACCCATTTGAAAAAGTACATCACGACCTGCGAGCCCATACTGTGCGATGTCAACGTAATCTTTTCGCCCTGGCCCTCCACCGCGGTTTCGATATAAGATTTCAGCCGGCTGAAGTACTTGTCGCGGACTTCGAGATTGCCATACGCTAGCCGCCAATCGTAAGCTGCAGTAAACGCATTGGTCGGATCATAGCCGATCGTGGCCAGGTTTTCAAGAATCTTGTTCCAAATCCAGTACCCTGTGATAAAGAAGTCCGTGGCATCGAATCCTTGTGCAGCCCGTAGCTTGATGCCGGGCGGATCGAGTCCCGTATCACGATCGAGCATGATGTGATTCTTCCATTCCGCCTTGTCCATAACCAGTGCCCGCATCATGCTCCAGCTACCCCAGAGTCGACGGCGGAAGTACTGGCGCGAATTGACCCCCGTGCCCCAACTTTCAAGACCGGTTGAAATGACACCCGGGATCATCACGACCGGGTGCTTCGCTTCGACTCCTTGGGATTGAAGGTGTAGACCAACGGAGAATGAATCATAATTGACGGCATCGCGTTCATGTTGCTAGAGACCACGCGATAAGAGTTAGCGGTTGTCTCGAAAGCAAGCGCAGAGTAGCTAGATAACTAGGGCGCAAGGCAAACGCACCGAGAACGCCTTTGCATCACGCACAATTCCTTGGGGTATCACATCGATCAATGACTCAAGATTCAAATCCAGTAGCGACTCCAAGGAAATGACCTCTTGCTGGTTTGCGAAGAACAGGGCGATAAATATGCCGAACAGGCCACCCAACACGAAGATGAATCCATTGCGACGTTTGCTTCGCGGTCGGATAACCAGCTGTTTCACCTTTGCACCATCGAATTCAGCACGAAGCTTGTCCTCTTCCGTCTGGATCCGGTTCAGCTGCGGCCGGTCCTTGTTGTTGTCGCTATCGCGCGAAGGGGCATCGTCCTTGCCCGTGCGGCGGCGCAACATATTGCGACCGCTCAGAGGGGTATGCTGCTCAAGAGAGCTATGACCAGCACCCAGCAGAATACACTGTGTCTAGGGAGATGGTTGGTGTAAGAAAAGCGAAAAGGTAGAAGCGACTCAGCTCCAAGAGAGCATCGCCCTAAAATCAGGGAATGTGTGTACCTGCGCGAACGTGAACGGGACGATCGGCGTCACATGGCAATCGCGGACCCAACTTACTTCCCAGCTGGCTCCGCCCCACGAACGCTTCTCAATCACCAATCAATCTACGTTTCCACCAACCACCACAGAAGTCCACGGCCTTTTTTTCGAATCTCGAGATTCTGAGCTCCGACGTCTACAACCTCCCCGCACCTATGAGCTCATAACACTGTGGCAATGACCCAAGATGCCCCCTCCGACCTGCGCTACGTGCGGTACGACAGCGCCCGCGAGAATGAATACGTCGCCGCCATGCGCCAGCTGATCTCCAAAGACCTGTCCGAACCATACAGTATCTACGTCTACCGTTACTTCCTCTACCAGTGGGGGGACCTCTGTTTTCTGGCCATGGACGACAAGGACGAGATGGTCGGCGTGGTGGTGTCAAAACTGGAGCCGCATCGTGGTGGCCCACTGCGAGGGTATATCGCCATGCTGGCCGTGCGCGAGGAATACCGGGGGCGGGGAATTGCGACGAAATTGGTGCGCATGGCCATTGATGCAATGACCGAGAGGAATGCGGATGAGGTATGTGTCTGTCAAGGCGAGTAAGAGGTTTTCTGGCGAGTCTAGCTTTGCTCACTGTAGCGCGTGTCGTGTGCAGATCGTCCTCGAAACCGAAATCACCAATACCGCTGCAATGAAACTCTACGAGCGACTAGGCTTCTTACGGAGCAAGCGACTTCACCGATATTATTTGAACGGCAACTCCGCCTACCGGCTCGTCCTATATCTTAGGGAAGGGGTTGGCTCGATTCGAACGTCATTTGACCCGTATGGTCTACCTCCGCCTCCGCCTATGGATCAGCTATATCAAGCTCCCACAGCGACACAAGGCAATGGGAGTTGATCTGCTTTGTGCTCTCGGCAGTACATCTGATTATGAATCCCCGTGGCGGAGGGTGGGCATGATCATGATAACTTGATGGGAAACGACATGAATGAATAGACTTGCACTTGCACCTGCAATCGGCGTCTGGGTCTGATAGCGAATAGTATAATATAAAATTAAGAAAGGGAGATTAAAGTAACCTCCATCTTCCTACGAAGCAGTGTTCTACCCGTTGACGGCACCTGGAATGCCGTATGGCCGTGGCATTATGCATATATCTCGACAAGATAAAAGGTCGGCGCTATCAGGCGCTTCTATAATCCCCACTGCGGTAAAATTAGTCCATTGGTCATGGAAAGAACTGCTCAAATATTGGACATTGTACGACAGGTCAGGATGAGTCAAGAAAAAGATAGAAAATGAGAGAAAGCAGAAGCGCTCGCATGGCCCATATCAAAGCATTTGCTTGTCAATTTGACGACAGACATCTACCAAGTTAATTGTAGCTTTATCGAAAACGTCACAAGATCTGGCATATCTTGTCTCTCAACATTGCAGTCTGACAGTCCGACTTCGGGTAGGCTTCACCGTCGGACTGGCCTGGCTTTATTTCTCACTTTCTCTAGATTCTCCAGTTCTCCTGTACTGACCTACTTTGAAGTCTTTCCTTGAGCTTTTGCCTTGGATAGTCATTACGCAATAGATGGTATTCGTCTACTCATCACGCCTGAGTGGCCCTATCGTTGGTGGCACCAGAAATGTATCGACGGCATTATGACATTTTGTAGTACCTAGAATTAGTTTTTCGTTTTGAAATGGAGGAAAAGCATCTCACGAATTCTCTGATGGGAAGACTTGGATGTCCGAAATCTGCAGATGCGCGAGCCTCACAGGCTCTTGACCCTGACCACCAGGTGACAAAGTATTCCAGGTTATGGATGTTACTTGGTCAGGCTCGTTCGGTGTACGATATCGCAGCCTCCAACTAGGCAAGTAGCTCGACACAGGACCGTTTAGTACCATTCGACCTACCATAAGATGGCTGGAAACAATATCCACATCCAGATCCAGATCTTACGTGGAATACCTGGCAAAAGGTGCAGTGTACAGATGGAGTACTTCAGCGCTGCGTAACATCCGCACTTTTTACGATCTTTCCAATAATCAGGATATATAATCAGCCTTATCAACTGCGTGGTATCAATATCCTAGACTTCAATTGGTCCGGAAATCTCCTGATAGTTTTGATTCTATCCAAGTTGGTTGCATCAAAGGTGGACAGATGCTAGAAATTAATATATTCATCAAGTTTGCGTCGCGCCCCCTACGTCATCGCCTCCATCGCCCGAATTATCGAATTATCTTGATATACAAAACAGCAAATACATACCTTTGACAGCTCTAGTTATCCACATCCCACGTTACAGGGAAACTTACTTTCTCCCAACTATTTCTAAATTAACTTAACCTATTACTTGCTATTATTTCCAAGCAACTTCATCTACACGCGCGATGTCTCTCGACCCAGTTACCAGTGGCCTAGGCCGTGGCCTACCCGTCAACAAAGTCACCGACACAGCCACCGACACAGTCCAATCGACCGCCCAAAAGCCCGTCCAACAAGTCACGGAAACGACCAAACCCCTCACCGACCCGGTCATGCCGGGCGAATTCCCTTCAGAAGACCGATCCCGCAAGGACGCCGACCAGCCTCCACCCGAGATCAACTTCCGCGGCCTCTGGGCCGGAATCACCCACTGGTTCGCATCGATGATACCTCAGGCCTTTGACGGCTTCGAGTGGCTAGTGACATGGCTCGTGAACCGGTACCTGCCACCACCGAAACAGGCGGCACTGTACGAGGAGGCGCTGAAGCGACCTATTGCGTCGACGTTTCTCGTTTGCCAGGCGATATGCTGCGGTGTGCCGCTGTTAGTATTCCTGGTCGGAGTGGTTATATTTGCGATTATCGCGGTCTTGTTGTGGGCGGTCTTGGCGCTGTTGATTCTCGGACCGATTCTGCTTGTTGCGAGTATGATGGGAGTTTCGTTGTGGGGTTGGGGGTGGGTTTTGTATGGATTGCTTAAGTGGGTGGATCGACGGTTTTTGGGTGGCATGATTGCGCGCTTTTGGCTGCCGAAGACGCAGGAGGTAGAGAAGGAAGCGAAGAATGGTGACGGGGAGACGGGCCAGGGTGAGATGGGGACGGAGACGGAGACGGGGGTGGATGAGAAGAAGGATAAATGAGGTGCCGTCAAGTCATGGTTTTGATTTTGAAGTTTTGGATGAAATTGTTACATGAACAGCTATGATAATGGAAGCTGTTCGTTTGGGTTGCCTTTATTTTTGCTTCTTTCCGTCGCATATGCAGATGTGGAATGAGATATGATTCACTCTCTAACGCATGGCGCGTGTGATGTACTCCGGATAAAGTATAGATATCACACACGAGACCGAGGACCATCTACTTCTCCACCAAGGGATTCCGACGGCGGCAGGGTCGCCTGATGCATACATGCATTTCTTGCATTTTTATTTATGATCAAGACAATACAACCTCATCATCAGCCGATGATTATCAACACTTTATGACTGCCCCAGACTCGACTCTCCTCCCAGCACAGACCAACCTAGGTCGAGTATGTGGCTATGTGCTGCAGTCAGCTGATAAGCAACTTGGTGAATTTCGTATGGATCATTCCCCGCAAAGTAAGAATGTAAGGTTCGCCGGTAGGCAGTTCGTAGAATACACTTTCATGGCGATATTCTTTCAACGGGTCGAGGAGCCTCCTAAAGTGGTATCTTTGAGTCGATCTTACGGGGGCCCGATCATTCTTTTGTAGAGACTCAAGTCATACTCATTGATAGGGGGACTCTGAAGGGAAGGCCAAGAAACTTAATTAAAGAATACTGTGCGAGAAAAGAAAGTACGGTTCTCGGTATAATCATCCTGGGGTACTCATGGGAAACCTATCCATAGAGTTGCTGAAAATAAGCTCTTGCAAAGGTTCACATTCGATATCAGCTTTGCATCAATACTGTACAACATACCGACTACTCCGCACATGATTCGACTCTTCCTAAACAAGATGAGAAGAATGTACTCCGTACATGCGGCACGGCAGTTCCCGGGCATTCTAATTGATGGGGTTTCTATCATTTCATTTGTTTCTCTTGTACTCCATATCTAGTAAGCTGCAACGGATCTGCGACGGCTCTTGGCGCGTTTCATGACGGACGGGATGGGATGCACGTTGGCCCGTGTGGGATGGATGATCGGCCGAGCAGCGAGGGTCGGGGTGGGTATTGCATGCGCTTAACCTCGCGCGCGGACTGTCATGATTCATACTTAGTTCACTCTTGCATGCACTCCGTATACAGTATAAGCCCAGTTTAGATGACCGGTTGACTCTCTCTGTGACCCTCCAAGATTATTTATGGGGTACAGAGGAGGGATTTCGTTTCCTGGGATGATGACTATGGTTGGTTCTAGTTTATTATTAAGATGGCGCCTAAGATGCCATTTCCCTGCCGTTCCATCAATCTCCCTACATATCAGTACAGTAGTCATAGTAGTACGTGCGTTACATAGTTATAACTATCTTATACGGATTACTTCGTACTATTATTTGGCATCCGAGTCCCGAGGACCATCCCTGCCATCCAGATGAGTACCTCCTACCAGCGCCACCCCCAACTATGTGTCGAGTATGAAAGAATGGACGGTTCCTGCCAGGCACCTGCATGTCTCACGCCAGATCAGGGGGGGGCAGCATGACATATACGACAAGTCGGAATATGCAGCAGGTCCATGATCCAGTGTCCATCCTGGCACTGTGAAGCGGGGGAAAAAAGGAACTCTGAACTCTCCAGGATGGCTCCATCCCGAGGACAGTCCCACTTGGGGATCCACTAATAGATTTTACCCCTGACCAACCCTTGGAAGCACTGACCAGGTCCAAAACAAGTGAAGGTCGAAGGAGGGGGCCAAAAGGAAATCAAGAAAATAGTTAGATTAAAAAAAGCAAAGATAGAAAAAGCAACGACGAGACAGGGGGTCCCGGACGCACCCCCGCATGCGACTTATGCGTCTATTAGGGTTAGTGTGGGATGGGAAGAGGGTGTTTTTTCGAGCTTGGGACGCCAAAAGGTCATGACGGAGTAGACTACCTGGGTTTATTGAACTGAAATCGCTTATCCGAATCACGCTACTTGACTGGTGCGAGGTAAAAATGTGCGGCTTTGAGGTTGGAAGTGATCATGCGGATGTGCGAAGCCTTGGGAGTCATCCATTGTTTCGTTCTTTCTTTGATGCCACTCTGGCTCTCGTCTCGAGAGATTGGACGTCTATAGGTCTTCGTTTCTATATGTCTGGAGTAGCGCAATCCATGAGGAAAAATGGACCACGGACCGCGACGATGTCGGATGGACGAGCCGGAAGGTCAGCCCATTTGGCCGCGATCCGCTAGGAGCCTTGCAGCTGAGACATCCCGTTGATAGCGTCGAACGATTGCAGCACCTGCAACAGTCCAGTGTTGTGGATGGCGGAAGCCAAGTGGAGTTGATGTTTCTTTTTTTGGGTCCTGGTCGATTTTGAAGTTAGTTGTACCCTTGACTCCGGATATTCAGGCACATCGCCTTTGAAGTAGGTGCGGGAGATGGAGGGTTACGTAGTCCGACAGAAGCAAGACTATAAATCTATAGAGTGAAAAAAAATATATAAAGAACCAATTATGAATACACGTTTCGAGGCACTTGCCTCTTGTCGCTGCCGACCATGGTTAAACTCTATCTGCTACTCTATACTCCGTATGGGGCATATAATAGCACGCCGTACACTCTTGCGATTTTAATAGAATCTTGTAGGGTAATTGAGATCAAACCAAACCCTCTCCCCTCTCCCTTTCCAACCCGTGTCAGAATCAATCTGAAACTAGGTGTTACTTTCCACGTAGAGATTACCTGGTAAGCATTTCAGAGCGGGAGGGGGGGAGTATATACATTCCAAGTATCGGATCACTCCGTGGTTCATGCTCCCTCTGCTGATACTCGACTAGTCGTTGAAGCCTGTCGGAATGCAAGAACAGCATCCATCCCACATGGAGGTCTCGTGGACAGCGTCCCGCTAGTCGCAGTTGAAAAAGGAGCTCTTGACTGGTCGGCTGCTTTAGGCTCCCCCACTTGGTGGTCACTCGGCGGGAAGTCAGTGCGGCCCCGTTCTCCTCCCCCATTCTTGCTTCGGATGCAGGTACCGCGAGTAGTGGGCCATTCAGACCCGTGTCACTCGTTGAGCACCGACATGGCCCCCTCGAGGATGGTGGTTGACTGACGTCAAGACTATGGACTTGGTAGGTACGAATTGGGGAGGTCAAAACGAGAGGGACCAGGCTTCGACGGAGGAGTAAGATGGACCAGGGACGGATGTTGAGAGTGGAGTACGGGTTGGACGAGCGTGGATGGGAGATGGGAGGGGGATATTGGACGATCGTGAATCCATGATAGGGTGAAAGGAACTGCTTCAGACAGCGATGAGTCGTGTCTGTCGTGTACAAGATAAGGTACATATTTCATATATAGGAGACTACTTCTTTTGATAGTAGACAAGTACGGAGTATGGGGAACCACCAGGAGGATCCAATTCAAGATCTACTTTGACAGGCCGTGCGCGATGATTATGAAATGAATAATCAAGATTCTTCAAATGTTGATAACCTTGCTCGTTAAGGTTACGTATTATCAAGTCATCATCACCTTGTGGGACTGGGATTTGGGTGTGGCAAAAGGCAAAGGCAATCTTTGGGACCGGGTCAGGGGCATGTTCACATCGGCAGAGGAAGGGGGGAGTACGGAGACAGTATCGCGGAGAGTCGTTCGTAGCTGTGGCGAAAAACAAGGTCGATGAGCACATAACGCCGTAAGCTACTGGTGCATTGGTCCAGGGGTAAAAAGGAAAAGAAAAAAAAGGCGACAGTTCACTTGCAAGAAAGTTCCCCTTGCATGAAGAGGAAAAGTATGCTGCCCTCCTCTATGAGTCGAGTATTTGCTACAGTAGAAGAACATTATTATTCGCTTCGACAGCAAGAATTAGACCGAATCGTTCAGCGAGTGCGGCATGTTTTCCATCGCCTATCAAGAACCCTGACTGAATTATAATCGACTCTCTCCCCCCTCCTGCTCCACCGCGTTATCCACCGGCGCGTTTCTGTTTCCCCAGGCCCTAACTAGTTCGTTCACGGACGAAAAGATTAATCTCCCCATCTCCCCCCCCCCCTCGGCCCCCTCTTCTTATTACCTAGTGACTCTCTTTGACCTTCTTCTCCCTCCTCTCCGTCTTTCCCTCCTTTGAAAACCCTACCTTTGTATTCCCTCCCGTTGGGCATCGTGATCCTCGCCTAATTCTGCCCTCGTGTCGGCCCGCGCCAATTGAGTTGTCTCTCGTCCGCCCGATTTTCCCGCTCCCCTTTCCGTGCCCTGCGAACGAAACCCTCTGCCGACCAACCACTTCTGCTCTCGTTCTCCCTACTGGGTGTGCGCCTTACCGTCGCTACGCTGGGGATACATTCGAGGTAGGCGCCTGCATATTTCCATCCGTCCCCGTAGTCGGGGCCAGTCAAAGCCCGATTGATATATACTCATCCCCCCTATTTCCTACCAGACTGCCGCGAAACGACTTTCCCAACCATCGCAGTTCTCCCTGCGGTGTAGTCGACTTCGCCCTTTGATCTCCCCCTCGTCCCCCAATCGGCACGTCGCCCGATCCCACAATGTCCGTAGCGACCATGCTTCAACCAGCATCGAGAATCTCCCGGGCCTCCTCGTCCTCCTCGTCCTCGTTTCAGCCCGTCGCACGACAGAACACCATGTCGTCGCACGATACCAGGTCCATCCGCCAATCCAAGCGGATGTCGGTCACCGCTCTCTACTTGTCAATGTCCGCAAAGGACCGAGATTTGGAAATTTCCGATGACCTGGCACGAGGTACGCGATCGCAATTTGCCCCCCCTATGGTATTCATGATTGGGAGTGTGGTAGTACTGACTCGGTGAACTAGCCCAGAAATATCTTCGCGAGCTCAAGACCAAGATTTCGTCGCAGTCGAAGAAGAACTTCGTCTTGGAGAAGGACGTTCGATACCTAGATTCGCGGATTGCGCTGCTGATTCAGAACCGAATGGCGCTGGAAGAGGTAAGAGCCTGATGCGAATGGTGGGAAGGTTCAATGGTCATCTCACTCACACGGCCCTCTTCTAGCAAAACGAAGTCGCGAGCCACCTGGATGACACGGCCGATCCGCAAGAAGGATTCTTCCCCAATGACGAACGAACCCAGAAATACGGCAACCTCCTCTTCCTGCTACAGTCCGAACCTCGTCACATCGCCCACCTGTGCCGCCTGGTCTCCATGGCCGAGATTGATTCCCTTCTCCAGACCGTCATGTTCACCATTTACGGAAACCAGTACGAGAGTCGTGAAGAGCACCTGCTCCTCACCATGTTCCAGTCCGTCCTTACCTACCAGTTTGACAACACCCCCGAGTACTCTTCCCTCCTGCGCCAGAACACCCCGGTCTCCCGTATGATGACTACGTACACTCGTCGTGGTCCCGGTCAGAGCTACCTCAAGCAAGTCCTCGCCGATCGCATCAATTCGTTGATTGAGTTGCGCGACGTCGATCTGGAGATCAACCCGTTGAAGGTATACGAGAGCATGGTCAAGCAGATCGAGGAGGAAACTGGCTCACTTCCGGACTATCTGGCCCGGTCCGTGACCGCCGAGGATGCCGCCGACAACAAGCAGGTGCAGGCCATTATTGCCCCCCGCCTGAAGATGTTGACCGATATCGCCAATGGGTTCTTGACCACCATTATCGAGTCGGTGGACGAGGCCCCGTACGGTATTCGATGGATTTGCAAGCAGATTCGCAGTCTGTCCCGCCGCAAGTACCCCGATGCCCAAGATCAGACGATCTGCACTCTGATCGGCGGTTTCTTCTTCCTCCGCTTCATCAACCCCGCCATTGTCACTCCTCGCTCCTACATGCTGATCGATGCCACTCCCACCGATAAGCCTCGCCGGACCCTGACTCTGATTGCCAAGATGCTTCAGAACTTGGCCAACAAGCCCTCCTACGCCAAGGAGCCTTACATGGCCAGTCTGCAGCCTTTCATTGAGGAGAACAAGGAGCGAGTGAACAAGTTCCTCCTCGACCTGTGCGAAGTTCAGGACTTTTACGAGAGTCTAGAGATGGACAACTACGTGGCTCTGTCGAAGCGTGATCTCGAGCTCCAGATCACTCTCAACGAGATGTATGCTACCCACGCTCTTTTGGAGAAGCACAGCCTGGCCCTCGCCCAGGACCACAACTCTCATCTCTCCCTGCTCCTGCAAGAGCTCGGTGCTGCCCCGCCTCAGGTCCCCCGCAAGGAGAACCGTACCATCACCGTTCCCCTGTTCAGCCGATGGGAGACTGCTCTGGATGATTTGACAGCTGCGCTGGACATCACTCAGGAAGAAGTATTCTTCATGGAGGCCAAGTCGACATTCGTTCAGATTCTTCGTTCGCTGCCTCCCAACTCCTCGGTCGCTCGCCGCCCCTTGCGCCTGGATCGTATCGCCGAAGCGGCTGCCACTCTCAAGAACGACGCCGTGATGGTGCGGAAGGGTATTCGCACTATGGAGCTGTTGAGTCAACTGCAGGATATGGGTGTGATTGATCGCTCCGATGAGTTCAGTCTACTCCGGGACGAAGTCGAACAGGAACTCGTGCATCTCGGCTCTCTCAAGCACCACGTACTCGAGGAGACCGGGAAACTCGAGGAGGTGTTTGCAACCATCCGGGACCATAACGCTTACCTGGTCGGTCAGCTGGAGACTTACAAGTCGTATCTCCACAACGTGCGCAGCCAGTCCGAGGGCAAGTCGCGAAAACAGCAGAAGCATCAAGAACTGGGACCCTACAAGTTTACACACCAGCAGTTGGAGAAGGAAGGTGTCATTCGGCGGAGTAATGTGCCGGAAAACCGCCGGGCCAACATTTACTTCATGTTCAAAAGTCCACTGCCTGGCACCTTTGTCATCAGTCTTCATTACAAGGGTGAGTTTAGGAGACTGGGAATGATTTGATCTGTCGAGGTATGCTAACTCATTACTGAATTTAGGCCGCGCCCGTGGATTGTTGGAGCTTGATCTCAAGCTCGACGACCTACTCGAGATGCAAAAGGATAACCTGGAGGACCTTGACCTGGAGTACGTCCAGTTCAACGTCACCAAGGTGCTCGCCCTTTTGAACAAACGATTTGCACGCAAGAAGGGGTGGTAAAGTGTAGACAGGGTTTGCATACCCTCGCCTTACTGTCCACGAAACTCCCCCCCCTTATGATTGATGAGATCGAGCACGAAGGAGCAGCAGCATTACTGTATCTTGAACCTCCTCCGTGACTTGGATAAGGTGGGCCTGACTCTGTGCCACCTAATACTCTTTTGATGATCTTGATGGACACGGAAATGTCCGTAATATACATATACCCGTCCGTCCTCGGCCTCACAGAACGATGGACTGGACTGATGCACTTGCCATGACTTGATTGCGCCCGTCTACTGGCTCGGATCTATACCCTTCCATCGATGAGCTGGGCATGAGTGGCGCGTGTGTCTCGTGATGCACGAACATAGCTGATGGAGGATGATCACCGTGGGAACCCGCTGGCTCGGGGACCTCCCAGTGATTGTTGAATTGATCGGAATGATCGAATGATTGCAGAATTTCATATCTGCTTATTATTTTCCTTTGTGTGTCTTCTTGTGGTGGATTTTTTGGTGGCAAGTTATACCCAGCGCATAGTTCTTGTTCTTGATTTTTTTTTTTCCTTGGCTCCATTGGCTCTGCTTTTGTTTTGTTACATCGTCGATCTGGCTAGGGGTTTGTTTGTGAATCCCGTTTCAAGCATGTTCTTCTCCGTTTTCGAATCTTCTATCGCCGCCGCCCGTGCCTATCGGTTTATCGGGCCTCGTCGCGCTGTGTATAATAATCCCTGCTCATTGCTGTGCGGCTTTCTGTTGAGTTGAATACCCGTCTGCCTGTTATTCCCCTGCCTGTATTGAGCCGAGCCATTGGTCGTTAATAGTTATTGCGAATCCACTCGGGCTTTTGATATTGAGGTTTCATCGACTAAGTTAGTCTTTATCTTTGACCACGTCTCCGTACCATGTAGCGCACCTCAGATTGTATATCTGAGAATCAGGGCAAGACCGTCTAATTTGCAGCGACTCTAATTCATATGTAAGTGCCGATGATCTCGTGTTGCTCGGGTACGGTGGACTATAGGGGGGATGCGGCCATAACCCTTTGTCGGCAATTTTAGAACCGGCAGAATCTCCAGTTCGGGCATTCTTTCTCCCATACAATCTACGCATATCCCATGAACGGAGGGGTAGACTCCGCGGCCTATATACGAATATAATCCTACAAATTCATTTATAATCGCAATCGAGTTTGCAGCGGTAAAACTATCGAACTAGTACTTGAATTAACCTGCTGACCGCGGCAATTTACGGGAATAAACTCCTAGACAGTTTCCAGGACGTTTTCCAGGACGGTCTCCTAGATAGTTCCTAGTAAATCTTTAGGTTTATCTTTTAGCTATATAAGTAATCATGAAAAAGTACTTGGGCTCATTGCGTTAAAGGGTGAAAAGCGGTGAATGATCTTATGAAGATATTGAGGGTTATGGATAATTGCCCCCTATAGTCCGTCGTACTCGGGTCGCTTTAGTTGGCTCGACTTGGCATGAGCTAAGAATTCGGTGGTCAAAACATCCTGGCTGTCCTAGCGTCTTGTGTTATAAGTGGATTCGGTCGACACCGCCTCATGCCCCTCTTCTTGGGACATTTGGGGTTTTTTTTGACCGGTGGTGAGAATTGTTTCCTATATGGATCAATAAAGTGTCGCCTCAAGAGATTCTATGGGCTCTAATGGTCCAGGGGCTCTATATTTCAACTAGAGGAAAAGAGGTAGTCCTCCGCATAATAAAACCAATGCCATGAAAACCTTAAGTCGTCACTGTTTACGCAGCAAATCAAGCCGATCTCCCGTTTTTAAACCTCGAGGTGGCCACAATCCCGCCCTCCACCCACTCTCCACTCTCCGCGAACAATCCCTCCTTGTTATTTGCCCCCTCCTCCTTTTTCCTAACTCCCTCCCTCTTTCCTCCCTCTCCCTCCACGTCCTTCCTATTTCATCCTCCCCTACATTCATTCACAATGGCGGCCGCTACCGATAAGACGCTCCCCATCGACCCCAAGTACGACAACTACGACTTCCCAACCACCGCGCCGGAGAAGCAAGATGGCCACCCCGGCCACACCACCCCGGAACAGGATGCGAAGGTTTACCAGCTGCGGACAATGCTCGAGCAGCTCGGCTACACGGAGCGATTGGATACTTTGACTCTGCTGCGATTCCTGCGCGCCCGCAAGTTCGATGTTGAGGCGGCCAAGGCTATGTATGTTGTTTTCTTGCCCTGAAGTTGGAACGGCGTTGGCTTGGGCTGCGGAGGGGCGATCAAGTACTGTCCTTGGGAGAAATCCCCAAGTACTTTTCTTGAATACCGGCTTTTCGCAGTTCCGTCATCGTTGGTATCTTTGGGATGATCGTTTCTAACTAGTGTCTTTCGTGGCCGGATAGGTTTGTGAACTGTGAGGAGTGGCGCAAGAAGTTTGGCACGGATGACCTGCCCAAGACTTTCGAGTACCCCGAGAAGGCCGAAGTGTTTAAGTTCTACCCTCAATACTATCACAAGACCGACAAGGTAGGTTTCTTTCGGGTTGTGGCGTGGTGGTTGTTGCTGCAATAGCCCTGCTTCGAGGAGACACCAGACTGACCACCCCCGCCTTAACAACAGGATGGCCGCCCCGTCTACATCGAGAAGCTAGGCAAGATCAACCTTGACGAAATGTACAAAATCACCACCGGCGAGCGCATGCTGCAGAACCTGGTCACCGAGTACGAGAAGCTGGCCGACCCCCGTCTGCCCGCCTGCTCCCGCAAGGCCGGCAAGCTCCTCGAGACTTGCTGCACCATCATGGACCTGAAGGGCGTTGGTATCACCAGCATCCCCTCCGTCTACGGCTACGTCCGCCAGGCCTCCGAGATCTCCCAGAACTACTACCCCGAGCGCCTGGGCAAGCTGTACCTGATCAACGCGCCTTGGGGCTTCAGCAGCGTCTTCTCCGTCGTCAAGGGCTTCCTCGACCCCGTCACCGTGAACAAGATCCACGTCCTCGGCTCCGGTTACCAGAAGGAGCTCCTCGCCCAGGTCCCTGCCGAGAACCTCCCCGCCGAGTTTGGCGGTTCCTGCAAGTGCGAGGGCGGCTGCGAGTTGTCCGATATGGGCCCCTGGCAGGAGTCCGAGTGGGCTCGCCCTCCCGCGTGGGCCACCACTGCTCCTAAGAAGGAGGGTGAGGAGGCTGTCATTCAGAACGAGGATCCCGGTTACGAGAAGAAGGATACTGAGGGTCAGGAAGGTGCCCAGGCTAGCGCGTAAGCGTGAGTGGGGGGCTGGGAAAGCAAATTCAAAGCAATTTATAGAGAACGTTTTTATTCCATTCTTTCGCTTCGCCTCCTCGCATTCGTCCGGAGCATATCCAGTCTTGCTCTGTTTCTGAGCCCACCCCATCCTTCAAATTTTTTACCCCATTTCGTTCGTACCGAAACATTCGAATCCGCCCTTTTGGAAATGAAATAGGAAAGAGAGAAAAGAGAGAGAGACGCAATCACCCAGACTAGCGAGAGTTTGGATGGAAACATCTTGTCCATGAGCGATCTTCCGTCTCATCTGTCTTTTTTAAGATCAACTGGAAGAAAAAACGTATTCTATTTGATATCCCCGAATTTCTGGTCTATGTTTAACTGCAATATATTGTCTCAATACAGTCCCATCTACGTGTTTCCTGCTTTAGTGCATTTGCTTCCAGACCAGTTTCCATCTCATCTTGTCTATATCTGATAGCATCAGGTCAGAGAGCAATGCTAGAGTCGTGCGATGAGAGAATCTTTCGATGAGATGATAGCCCGATGAACATGTAGTAAGAAAATAAACAATAAGTGAGTGGTATCATAATCCTTAGTTCCAAATCCAGCACCATAACGCCTCAGCCTGCATCCAAAAAGCGAAACAACGTATCCAGTCGTAGTCCACTCCAGTCATGATCCGATAAAAAAAATATCATCCCAAATTTGAAATGGACATGCCCTTCACATACTCTCCACAACCTCAGCTGCCCGTGCCGCCCTCTCAGCCTTGCCCACCGTCGTCGCCAACGCATTCCCTTCCGACCCAGCTTCGCCTCCACCCTCGCTATCGCCTTCACCCTGCAATCGTTGCAGGGTTCGTAACGCATTCTCGTATACCTCGGCCATATCCCCGTTCCGCCAACGCTCGGCTTCTTCGTTCGTGCCGAGGGGGACGTCTATATTCCAAGCTGGATTGGGACGGGGACGACGGGGATGTCGAGCACGATGGTGTTTCGTAGATGCCGATCCAGATGCGGGTTCGGTATCGACATCCATAGCGTCGGGCTTTTCGTTCTGCGTGTCGTCGTGATCCTCTGCATCGTCATTCTCATCTCCATCCGCGCCCTCGCCCTCGTCCTTGCTCTCCTCTTCGATTAACCCCGCCAACTGAGCTGAATATGCCTTGGCCGCCTTCCGGGGTGCTTCGCGCCGTAATTGCGCGACAGTCGTCGTGAGAGATTCGAGTTGGGCGTAGAGAGTGCTTACGCGCGAGGCGAGTTCTGAATCGAAGGGTTCGTATTCGACCGTTTCCGGTGCGGTGAAGGCCGCGGGGAAGGGGAAGGCCGGGGATGAGGAGTCTAGGCCGTTGATGCTAATTGAAGAGGAGGCTGTTGTGAAGGTGCGGGTTATGTACTGTGTGAGGAAAAGGCGGTGTTAGCTCTTTGTCCTTGGTCTTGGTCTTTTGCGGGTTGTAGATTTGTGTAAATGTAGATGAGGGATATGTGCGAGTGTTCAAGCCGAGGCAGATAGACCCAAGTATCGTCTTGAACCGCTTGCTTTGGAGGGGGAAGTTGATCTCTCACCTCGTCAACCAATTCCCGCACGCGCTCGCGCATCGGGTCTGGCTTGTCATCGTTTGTTGCGGAAGGGGGTAGATTCAAGTCCAATTTTTGCCGGGAGAGGGCGACCGTGTTTGCATATAGATAGGTGAAATCTGCTGGAGATTGTAGCTCGACTTTGCGGTAGTGCGGTGCAGCCATGATGGTGGTCGTGGTGGTGTTGGAGTAGTGGGGGGTTGATTGGATTTGTTGATGAGACGCGTTTGGAGGAGAGTCTTGGCGGCCAAGTTGCCAGGGAAAAGGTTTCTGCAGGAGTCCCCGCAAACGATGTCATCGATGCCTGCGACCCAAGGAGGAGCTCTTCTCCTTTTTGGACTGGATTCTTGTCTTGACTTGACTGTGGAGGCCATTTCAAAAGCCATTCATTCGTTCATTTTTCTATCTCCCTAGTGTACTCCTTTCGGCTTTTTGATTATTTCCAACTCCCATCCATTCTTGATTGCTCGTTTAACCTCCAACTGGCGGTGGTGGAGTGATGCGACCAGTACCATGATAATGCTCGTGGCCCAAGTCCATCGACCTGTTTGACCATACCACTAGCTCTGTGTATACCGAAGACGACAATCTCAAGGCATACTTCATCACAAGCACACGATCCTCCATGGAGACTTCCAACGGCATTTCCCTCGTGGACAACACGGCCCCCTCACAGCAACCCACTATCGGCGAATCCTCCCAACAGCCCTCTGCACCTGATCGCCAATCCAGCTTAACAAAACACCTCAGCCGAGCATCCGTATCAGGCCAACTTGCTAAGAGGAAATATGCCAAATGGCAACCGGAGAGACTCGGCCTCACGTCCGACACGGAGCAGTCGTTGAGCAGAGAATCGTCGCGGGCACGAAGGTCAACCTCGGCAGCAAGCTCCGGAGGTCCTACAAGTCGACAATCCTCACGTCAGAGGAATGGCACATTCAACGGTTCAGGTGCAGGCGCCTCGGCAATCGACACGACCGACTTTGCGCCCTTGCAAACCCAAACCATTACCACCGAGGGTCTCAACCAAGCACCCACCACCACCGATGAACCCAAGATTCTCTCCGAACTAGACATTCTGTACGAAAACCAGCGCGGCTGGTTCTTCTTCGGCATCCCTCATTACTCACATAGCTCCCTCCTTAACTTCGACCCCTCCGCCTGGATGACGCAAGACAAACGCCCCAGCGCCGTAAATGTCACTAATGCACAAGTCCCAGACCCCAGCTGGGAATGGGCCTGGCGCACCTGGTACGTCGACATGTCCGGTGATGTCGATGAGCAGGGCTGGCAGTATTCCTTTTCATTTTCTTCGTCTCAATGGCACGGCACGCACCCCTTGTTCCACTCTTTCGTCCGCCGACGTCGCTGGGTGCGTCTTCGGACGAAGATCACCGAGAGACGGCACCGTGGCCGTTCGGAATTTGAGAGAGCGCATATGCTGAATGAGGATTATTTCACCATTCATTCATCCAAGGTGCGCAGTCGTGAACAGAGCGTGGCCGGGTTGTCGCGGGTGGAGTCGGGCTTTATAAGCCGCGTTGGCTCGAAGGTGGAAGAGGAGGCGCATATGGAGGAAATAGGGGATATCCCCAGTCTTTTACATGCGTTGAAGCAGACGTCCATCGATCGAGAAAGGATCGATGCGTTGAAGAAGTTTGTTGAGGAGGGTGGTGAGGAGTTATATTACTTGAACGACAAGGTAAGAACAATATTCGGTTTGGACATTCTAAGCAACATGCTAATTACATTGTTTTGATCTTACGTAGATCCAGGAGATCATGCCAATGTTCCTCTTCCAAGCTTCCCGCTGGCAGTTTATCTCCTATCTCACAAAAACAATCGACGATCTCACCCAACAACTCTCCGACCCGAACATTGAAGACAAAGATAAGATTCAGCGCAAACGAGACAATCTTGTTCGTGCAGCCGAGTCCGGCAAAAGTCATATCACGGGCCCAGATGTCTGCGCGGATAGTTATGGCGAATCGCCGACGGGTCTACTCGATTTGACTCCTGTATCAAGACATGACACTTTATTGTCGAAACGTGCCCAGATGGTCGATGAGCCGTTGCATGTTCTGAAGACGAAGGAGATTAAGGGCATTCCGAAGGCGGCAGAGGTTGGCCGGGAAATTCATATTTATTAATGCTGTCCTTTTTCCTGTGGAAGGGAAGAAGTGTATTGCTTAGGCTACTGCTATTCAGCGCTCTCATTGCATTATAATGAATCAATATTACACCACGGCCCGAGATTGACGCTAGTGTGTGGAAAGCCATTCCATGGGATGTTAAAGGTTCAGTATTCCTAGGAGTAGGTAGCCAGCCTTTTATATTTCCTCACGATACCTAAACATCAAGTTACAGCAGTAGTCAAGTTCCGAGTTTCAGGGCAATGTCAATGACTACAGACGACATCTGTATAGCTTCTCGCGACGAGTCATCTTAGGGCGGATCTTCGGAGAAGCTTACTCGCCGTACCTTGTTGGATTGTATGAGATGATGCTATTCAGGCTTGAAAATTGGGAAGTGATGAGAGAGTGTGTGAGAAAATCAAGTTTGTGGCTCATTTCAAGCTTTGTCCAAGTTTTCTTCATAGAGGTATGGAGTCCCCTTACCGATGTTAATGGACGAGGCTCTTACTTGGTCGTGGTGCATCCACTTCACCAGGGTACATTTATCTACTCAGGCTTGCAGTAGCAGGCCTGATCTTACAGACATCTAGTTCCCAGCACTTATCAATAGCTTTTTACCACCTCCAAGTTGTACTTCTATGGGTTGCGTTTCGTGATGCGCCCCGGCGCTAATACCCCTGCAAAGTAAACCCGGGTTTCATATGGTGTTGACGGCGTACCCAATCAATTCCAGGTGAAACACAGCCACCCTAGCCGGTCAGCGCTTAGTTATGTCCATTATTTCGCCATATAAGAAGTCTTCTCGCCCCGGTGGCTGGACTAGTCCATGGAGTTGCTGCCTCTCGGCCTCTCTAGATCTGCCAAAATGATTCCATTCAAAACAAAAGTCATGCAGAGTCAGGCCGTTGAGCCAAGTGCCGAAAGCCCTGCTGAAGAGCCTGGAATACCTTTGGAGTTCGGCTCTGCGGCGCACGTAGTAAATAATGTTGGATTTCAAATTGGCAACAATCACGGGAATATCATTTTCAGTCATCACAAAGAAACCACACTTTTCGAATCTCTGGCTGCTTACAATCAGTCTCAACGCTCAATCCTATTGGCAAGGACGACTCTTTCCAAGAAAGCTCGTCTGCAAACCGGGAGAAGAGTGAGTAGTCCGACGCGTTTAGCTGCGAAGCCCGCCCTCTAACAGATCACAATGCAAGCGCGTGCAAGCAATCAAGAATCGCACTTACTACGAGCCATACGTGGAAGTCAAGGATCGCCCAGTCAAATAGCGACTCATTCATCTATCCAATCGCTTCAATTTTTTAGACCGCGGCTTCGCGGAATACTTTCAGACTGTCGTACCGTCCTTTGACAAAACCTATGTTCAGCAACGCTTGAAAGATATTCGGCAGGATATTGCGAAGGGGCAGACACAAAATATTACTCCGAGTGGGGAGGATGAGCCAGAGACCAACTATCTTGGAGATCTGGACGAGTTCTGTGAAAAGGTATCTCAGGCCTGGAATCCCTATTCTAGACCCATTCAGTACGCGCAGTCAAAGTTTCACATAACGCATCGACGAGACCAGGAAATCTTCGAATACTTGCAAGACGCTTTTGAAGTTCCTTATTGGGAGCTCATGCTGGATTTGTTCTTACAGTGGCGTGCCAACTCGCGATCATTGAGTGGAGATATTGTCCTCAAAGTCTTGGGTAGCCTGGAAAGGGAGATCAAAACTGGACGACGTCAACTTCTAAGTGACCTTGAAGCGCAGTCAGAAGACAAATTGGAAGACTTGCCTCCTATTTTGGAAGGTATCGATGCGAGACTTGCTGTCCTTGGTACTGTGTGCGATATGACGGGGCCCCTCTTATTGGAATTAGAGGATTTGGTTACTGCCGCAGCTCGCCCTATACTTGCATCTGCGGAAAATAGCCCACCTATGGAATCCCCGGGTTCCGGAAAAGAAAAGGTACTTGTGAAATCTCCGACTCTGAGGTTCAATGCTGATCTTCGCATGGTACAGGAAAACGTGGCTCTTATCGCATTGATCTTACTGTTTCTTACTGCGGCTATAGTCCCGGGATACAAAGCATTCGCGATATCAATGGACTCCAACACACCAGGCTCGATTGGGGATGCCGATTTCTGGTATCTGATCCAAAGCAGCATTATGTCTGTTCTAGGAAATGGTCATCCCACTGCTGAAAAAGTCCTGGTTCTCACCGGCTTATAATACAATGTGGATATTTTTTACATTGGGTGTGGCCTTTGCGATCATATCAATTGCCATCTATCCACTTGTCAATACGGGTTGGAGCTTCATGGTGGCATTTTTTGGTTCTATTGCCTCCGTCGCTTCGGTGTTGGTCACGACACAGGCTGCAGCGAAGGACGTGCCTCATAAAATCAAAAACGATTGAATAATATGGATTGTGATTACGAGTTTTTTACAGTGGAAATATCAAGCGCCAATTGTAATAATCAAGTGGCAGATGAGATACAGGTCACAATCGAAGTCATAATGGAACGGAACTGGCAAGCATGGCACGAACATTCGATGGGACAGACAAGACTTTGTGCGGCCTAGCTGCACAGCTTTATGCGTAAGAGGTTATTGCATTGTTCCAACACAGAAAAGTTTCTTTTCACATGATTCGAAGGTTATGTGAATTGATTCGATAGAAACCTAGCGTGTGAGTATTAGAACTGGTCGGTAATATAGCTTTAGTTCGAATATGCGCACCGTATATGCTCTCTGAACTCATCCAGAAGTCGGTAACTTTAAACCCGGCTCGCTGAGTCATAGAGAGAATCTGATCATACGACCACTTGCCGCTCAAAAGTTGCTTGATCTCCGTCCCTTGGCTAAAGAAGAAAGGGTGGCCAGCGATATCGAGGCTCAAGTCACGCTTCGAAATATGACTGCACCTGATCATATTACTTTGTTGATCGAACCAGACCCTTATCTCCCAATCCTCCAGACTGAAAACTTCGCGTCCTAATGCCAGGTTTGCACCCCGCATACCATTTTCCACCAGACTGCGGAAGTTACCAGGCTTATCATTGTAGGTAGCAAGAACCCGTGATGCGTCAGAGCATGCATCTGCTCCAAAGATGAACGAGCAGCGTCCTCTGCAGGCTTGTCGAAAAGATTTGAGCATTTGCCTAGCGTCTTCTATTTCTGCATTGGCAATGCTATTTCCCATCCACAGAAATGTAATGTTATCGGTCAATACGCTATCGAAGATAGATTCGACCCAGCGAAGACAATCAGCATAGGTGCCCAGGAGCCCTGCGAAATGGACGGCAGAGGAGGAAGAAAACCCAGCTGAAAGCTCACGCAGACCTTGCCTGAGAGATTCCATGGAAATATCGAGAGCATAATAGAAGACCTCTTTCTTCTGAGCCTGAAGTGCTCCCAAGATTGCGCCCGTTTTCTGGAGATTCCTGTGAAGTTCAAGTCTTAGTTCATGGATCCTGATCTCAGAAGCGGAGAATAACAATACCCGCAGCCAAGCTCAATGAGTATCGAAGAAGAAGGAAAAGTCTTCGCCATGTCCGAACAACGTCTCTGTAATATCTCTATCTCACAAGATCGGGGATAGTAAGCCGATTCTTGACAAAGCTTATCGTAGATTTCCAATCCTTTAATATCCCAGATGAGGACCGAGGGTAACTCCCGAGGGTTTTTAGCAAGACCTTCAAGGATGGCACTCTTCATATCATGATGTCCATTGGATTGCCTGATATCAATGATGCCATCCACAGTGGGATACTCGGAGGCGATAGAACCCATGCTGGAAAAATGATAGAAATGATACTTATACAACGTACAGATTGTAGACCACAATGAGGCTTACTTAAAAGACTTTCATATCGTAAGATTCAATGGATAGTTACATAAAACTTGTGAATAATCATATTGAGTACATGAACTTGCCTCGCGGATCGGTTGCTTTTCCTCGGTGTGGGTCCATGATCGTCACGGTCCGATCCAGCCAATACACTAGCGAATTCAATTCCCCTTTTCAGAAGAATTACAGACAGATACAGGTATTTACACCGTATTATGTTCTAGATCGGATGGCTTCAATATAGAGAAGACTTTCTCAACAAGTGTGGAGTAGTCAATAGTGAAGCCCAGCCTTAATGCGAATACGAACTAGCTCCCAGCAAACACGAGCCTTGCTCTTTGCATTGCGTGATCCACAAGCGACCTGGCCTATTTTCCTCTTAGTTTCGGAAACTTAAAGCGTGTCTAGCCAAGAATTGCAGCCTGACGGCGACGATCATCCCAACCAGTCTTTGCTGGTCGATGCACCCTTGACAAGATTGGCAAGATCTTCTCTATGTACACCCAAGCGCAAGATCGCGATTTGCACGTCACTGACGTGGCATCTTGCAGGACGCGTATCAATTCGGTTTCTGGGCATTTCGGCTCTGTTCCGATCTCCTTGCACATTCCAGCAGCACGGAGACTGGGAAGTGGATCTGTTCGAATGATCGTACACCGGCTGACTGACTGATTGACTGCGCGTACTCACATCGCTCGGTAAAAAAAGCCGATTTAGAGCTGACGGCGAGAGTCAATCAGCCGGTCATGCAATTTTTGTATGAGAGGTCTATCTGGAAAAAGTCTTAAATACAGCCATTTTGGGATCACCCACAAACTTGAAGCTCTCGATTTTGGAATCTAACTGTTATTCCCAACGCTATGTCGAACTTCACCTTTGATGCCATGCCAATATGGCTCCCCTCTCCCGGTGGTCAAAGGTCCGTTTTGATCAAATATTTTTTCACGCTTTTAGGACTTGCTTTTGTGTACCTGGCAGCTCTACGCATAATATTCCATCCATTGCGCAAAATTCCAGGACCGAAATTGGCCGCACTTACGGGTTGGTACGAGTTCTACTTTGATGTCGTGGATAATGGTACTTTGGTCAAGCACCTTCCTCGAATTCATCAGAAATATCGTATGGATAACCGATCTGTTTATTTGTACTTGAATGTCTAATCTTGTATCTCTAGAGTCTCCGGTAATCAGAATATCCCCCTACCACGTCCATGTCAATGATCCAGAATTTTACCATGTGTTAGTAACGCTTTCTCTTCTTCTGAGCTGGCAACCCTAACTAGATGAAGTGTCTATCGAGCTGGGACAGATTACCTCAAGGCCCCATACTTCTACAAGGGCCTCGGAAACCCCGAATCACTCATCTCCATTCTTGATCCTGCCAAGCACCGTATCTTCCGAAACACTATAGCCCCGTTGTTTTCGCCAGCTTCAATCGACTCTTTCGCCCCCCGAATCCATCAACTCATTCAGAAAACAGCCGGTAAGATTGCCGAAGAGCTTGAGACTAGGCAACCGATTTCGATTCAACACTTATTCCGATGCTTTGGGGTGAGAACTCTGCATCTAGACAAAAGCTTCAATAATTTTGACAGTGGATAGGTCGACATGGTCTATGTGACTCTTTTTGGACGACCTGATGAATTTGTGGAGAACTACAAGCAGCCCCATGGGCTTATCCAGAGCATGGATCAGTTCACCGATCGAATGTGGCTAAGTTAGTGTAATCTCATCTTGAAGGAAACTTGGATTAAAGTAACGATTAACAACTTAGTCAAACATTTTCCGTTCTTAAACAAATTTACTCAACGCTTGCCATCGAGGTTCCAGCTACCCGGATATGCGAGTTTTCTTAAAGTAAGTCAATACTCAAATAATCTATGCACGGGAGCCAACTCAAGAAACATAGCAATGTGAAGCCTGGGTGGAAGAGACTCGCGCACGGCGGGTGAAAGGTCAAATGACTACAGCGGAAGGAATTACCACCGTCTTCGACGCAATGCTGCAGCCAAATGAGGACAAGCATTATGATTCTCGGACGTCAACAGAGCTGATCGATGAGGCTGCACTCTTGATTATTGCTGGCAGTGATACCTCTGCCTATACTTTGACCTGTGCAACATATTATCTCCTCAGCACCCCAGTAGCTTTGGATGCATTACGCGAGGAACTGGACGCGAAGCGCTGCCAAAGACAGCCAGATGCTCCTGCAATATGTGCATGGGATGGAAACCTTTCGTATCAACAGTTGAACGCATTTTCGGAGTCTTTCGCCGCTCATCTTCTTGATCTTGGAACTGCATCGACCTCTTTCATACCTCTATACTTGGAAAAGTCGAAATGGACTGCAGTTGCCATGCTGGCGACTCTCAAAGTTGGAGCTGCATTTGTCCTTCTTGATCCTTCTCATCCACCCCATCGGTTGCGCCAGATTTGTTTGGACATCCGAGCAACCACTGTGTTGGGATCAACCCGCGACAAGAACATTGCCGAATTACTCGGTGTCGCAAATTTCATCGCATTGGATGACGACAAGATATTGAAACAGGGTAGTGGTCTTCAACTTCCTCGGCTTCAGCGTTCTCCCTCCAACCCAGCCTATGCTGTGTTTACCTCTGGATCAACCGGCCGGCCCAAGGGAGTGGTCATGGAGCATGCTGCTTTCACTACCTCGGCTCAAGAGTTCATCCAAAGAACCGGTCTGGGGGTTGGATCACGGGTCTTTCAGTTTGCTTCTTATGCTTTCGACGTAAGCATTGCGGATCATCTCGCCACACTTATTGCTGGAGGTTGTGTATGTATTCCATCAGAACAAGATCGTGTCAATCGCCTTCCCGAGACCATTCAGAACTTTCATGTGAACTGGGTCGATCTCACTCCATCAGTGGCCCGTTTATTGTCTCCCAAGCAGGTGCCTGAATTGAGAACCTTGGTTCTCGCAGGGGAGCCCATGAGCAAGCAGGACATACTCACCTGGGCACCGCATGTCGATCTTATCAACCATTACGGTCCGGCAGAGTGTGCTATTGGAACTAGCCTTTCATCGCCTATCGAGCCAGACGCAGAGGCTGGGAATATCGGATACTCTATGAGCTGTCTCAGTTGGGTTGTGGACCCGGAAGATCACAATAGTCTATTGCCATTTGGCGAGATTGGAGAACTCGTGGTTGAGGGTCATATCGTCGCTCGAGGATATCTGCATGACCAAGCCAATTCCGATTCTCCGTTCATATCCGTGCCTTCCTGGTTAGAATCTCTCCGCCCTGATAGCTCTCCGACAGCGCCGTTATATAAGACGGGCGATCTAGTGCGATATATGTCAGATGGCTCGATGCAATACGTTGGGCGAAAAGACAATCTTGTGAAGATACGCGGCCAGCGGGTTCAACCCGAGGAGATTGAACTCTATATTCAGAAGTGCTCAGTGTCACCTATAGAGGTCGCCGTTGAAGTGGTGCATCTTCCTGGAGGGGATTCGGCTTTGGTCGCTTTCGTTGCTCAAAACGTCTCCGAAATGCAAACTCGTTTACTTTCTCCAACCGGTGACTTTGCTACATGGGCCTTGGATTTACAACGCCGGCTGCCAGAATTCTTACCTGCGTATATGATCCCATCCTTTGCCCTCCCAGTTTCTAGGCTCCCTTTGACCTCCGGGGGCAAGGTGAATCGCTGAGCGCTCATGAACCTGATGTCAGATTTCCCGGTCTCCCGTCTGGCAGAGTACCAACAAAAGCCGCCGTTAGATTCCTCGCACCCAGTCGAAACGGTTGAAGAGATCGAAATTTCTCTCAAAGAGATCTGGGCTGACGTTCTGCTCAGAGGCCCCGAGATTATAAATCGGGATGATGGGTTTTTCCAGTCTGGCGGGAATTCAATACGCGCCATGGAACTGGTGTCTGCTGCTCGTAAAAGAGATCTTCACTTGACTGTTGCGGATATTTTCAATGCTGGCACATTTTCTGCAATTGCTGCATGCATGAGGCCCATCTCAGAAGTTCTCTCTCGGGATTTGCCGCACGAGTATGTACCTTTCTCCATGATGGGGGACGTATTGAATCAGCGCAGAACTTTGGCTCTTGCTTCTCAACAATGCAATGTGGAGCTAGATGAGATTGAGGATATTTATCCAGCTACCCCTTTACAGGAGGGTTTGATGGCATTGTCCATTCAAACGCCAGATGCCTATGTTTCCCAGCATGTATTCAGTCTTGCCTCTGGTATTGACCCTCAACGTGTCCAATACGCCTGGCAGGAGACCATCAAAGCGAATGCAATTCTTCGAACCCGCATGATAACTGTCAACACTGGGACATTGCAGGTTGTTCTACGAAAGGAGATTGAAATCTCCTCCGCTCAAGATCTAGAGCAGTTCCTCTTAATTGACAGAGGGCAGCTCATGGGGCTTGGGAAGCCCCTTGTTCGACTTTGCATGGTTTCGTCCTCATTCTGTGTACTGACATTACACCATTCAATCTATGATGGCGTTTCCCTGCGGCTCATGATGGACCATTTTTACGAATCATACCACGGCCTTTCCGTCCCAGTGCCTGCTTTTGCTCCCTTTATCGCACACATTCAACGGCAGGAAAAGAATAATGAATTCTGGCGGTCACGCCTTCTCAATTGCAGTGCACCTATTTTCCCAGCCCTCCCCGCCGCAGGGTTCGTACCCACCGCGAGCGCGTTCTTGGAGCATCGTGTCACTGGTATCCGTCAGAGAAGTGACCACACGACATCAAACACGATCCGCCTTGCCTTATCAATCCTGATCTCTCATTATACAAACTGTGAAGATGTTGTCTTCGGAGTTACTGTCAATGGTCGTGGGGCACCTGTTACCGACATTGACCGAATGACAGGTCCAACATTCTCTACTATCCCTTTACGCTTCACAGTGGATCCAGAACATGACGTTTTAGGGGCACTGAGCCTGATGCAAAAGGATGCGGCTGACATGATTCCTTTCGAACAAGCTGGACTGCAGTTCATCCGTCGAATCAATGAGGATACAGAAACGGCCTATCTGTTTCAGACTCACCTTGTGATACAACCCTCCAGGGTCAATGTCTCCAGGGAGGTCCTGGTGCCACAGAGTGGACGTTGCTTGGATGATGGGCAAAATGCCAAATTTGCCTCGTATGCACTGCTTGTGGTGTGCACTCTGGATGAATCATGTGAAGCAGTCGACATCGCACTCAATTACGATCCACGTGTCATGACTGGGGTTCAAGTACAGCGATTTGTGCAGCAGTTCAGTCATATCTTGGTGCAGCTACAGGATCCTGCTCCCGGACTGTGCCTGGGGCAGATCCAGTGTATCAGCCCGGAAGACCTAGCAGATCTCCGCCGATGGAACCGAGATATTCCATCTACCTGTGAAAAGTGTCTTCATGATATGATTTTGGAGAAGTGTGTCTCGCAGCCTTTTGCGCCTGCAGTTTCTTCGTGGGATGGAGAATTTACTTACCGTGAATTGGAACGACTATCCGGTGCTTTTGCTCAACGGCTGCGAGACTTGTTCGTTACCACCAATAGCATGGTCCCTTTCTGTCTTGATAGGTCCAAGTGGGCTGTCGTCAGCATCCTAGCCGTTCTTCGAGCTGGTGGTACCTGTGTCTTGACAGACCCAAGCCACCCCCGAGCGAGAGTACAAGGGATCATTCGCGAAACTGGCGCCAAATTGGCCCTGGTATCCCCCAGACATGCTAATATTCTCGAAGGACTAAGCTGTGCCGCTTTTGCTATCTCTGACTCCACGTTCGAGAACCTCCCCGAGTATGAGCCCGAGATACTTCCATCGGTCGCACCGGAGGACCCTGCCTTTATTGTCTTTACCTCGGGTAGCACTGGCAAGCCTAAAGGTATCATTGTTGAGCACCGCAACCTAGCCACGTGTGCGAGAGACCAGTATAGTCCAATGGGATACACGCCTGACTGTCGGGTTCTTCATTTCGCGTCCTATACTTTCGACTTGAGTATCTATGAGACGGTGATCACCCTCATATTCGGAGGCTGTGTCTGTGTTCCGTCCGAGGAGCAACGCCTAACCGATCTCGCCGGCTGCATGAAGCAATATCGTATCAACTGGACCTGTCTGACACCCTCGTCATTACGTCTGTTCCGTCCCGAAGATGTCCCTGACCTGAAAACATTCTGCGTTGGCGGAGAGTCACTCACGCAAGCCCACGTGGATGTTTGGGCAAGCAAGGTCAAGTTCATTAATTCTTATGGGCCAGCAGAGACCTGTTTTTGTACAGCTGGTGTTGTTGATCCGAAAACATGGCTGCCGGGTGATGTGGGTGACATGTTTGGTGGACTCGCTTGGATCACAGTGATCAATGACCCCAACAACCTTGCCCCCATTGGAGCTATTGGAGAACTAGTCGTCGAGGGTCCTGCGGTTGCTCGGGGCTATCTCAACAACGAAGAGTTAACTCGTGCCGGCTTTATTGATGTTCCACCTTGGCTCCAGAATTGGCGGCCAGGTAATGAAACGGGCAGGTTGTATCGGACTGGGGACTTGGTTCGATATGGTGACGATGGAATTATCTGTTTCATTGGGCGACGCGATACACAGGTCAAGCTGCGTGGTCAACGTGTGGAGCTTAGTGAAGTTGAGTACCACCTCCACCGGTGTTTCCCTGGCGCTCACGAAACCGTGGCGGAAGTCATTGTGCCTTCGAATTCTGGAGGGCGAGCCATTTTGGTCGCTTTTGCTTTCACCGGTGATGCATGCGAGAGCCGCTCGGCCACTTGCCTTGCCATGCCGACTGGAAAGTTCATGAACGCAGCGTCGAATGCTCTGGCACAGATTCGGGCGTATTTGCCCGTGTACATGGTTCCCACAGTTTTGATCCCCCTTGCAACAATTCCTTTGACTGGAACCGGCAAGATCAATCGACGAGAGCTTCGTCACGTTGTGGCTAGTCTTACTCGTGACGAGATCAACTCATTTGTCCCGTCCACTGACGATGAAGATACCACTTCCAAGCGTCCGCCAGGCAATGAAGTTGAGCGAAAATTACACTCTATCTGCGCTCGTGTTCTCAACATTGACTTGAAAGAGATTGGAATGGACGATGACTTCTTCCGTCTTGGTGGTGACTCTATCAGTGCTATGCAGGTCGCAGCGAAGGCCAAGGCGGTTGGTCTTCCTCTCACTGCGACAGACATCGTGACCCGCAAGTCTATCGCTGGCATGGCACTCTGCAGCGTTCAATCGTTCCCAGTGGTGATCCCAGACCAGGATTCGAATATCATGGCTCCTTTTGGTCTTTCGCCGATCCAATCTCTGTTCTTTGACACAATCCATGACAATTACAGCTATTTCAACCAAAGCTTCTCGCTCCGTCTGTCAGAGAAAGTTGTAGTTGACAAATTGGATGCTGCTTTGTGGGCTGTGGTGGCCCATCACGCGATGCTTCATGCTCGGTTTCGCCGTGCTGAGAACGGGGGCTGGGTACAGCAAGTACAAAATGACATTCAGGAATCCTACACCTTGACATCTCATTCGCTCCAATCAACCGCCGGTATTGGCCAAATCGTTTCGGAGAGCCAGCAGTCTCTAGATATCTTCAGTGGTCCCCTTCTGCGAGCGGACTTGGTCGAAACGGATGGTGGACAACAACATCTCTTCCTGGTGGCTCATCACCTGGTCATGGATTTGGTATCTTGGAGAATCATCCTTACCGACCTGGAAGAAGCTCTCCACAAAGGAGGAGAAGTATCGACATCGCCGTCTCTTCCCTTCCCAAAGTGGTGCCAAATGCAAGCAGAATATGGCAGGGAAAATCTATTGCCGGCAAACGTCTTTCCGTTCGATCTTCAACCCACTGTGGAAGGATTTTGGGGAGACGTTGAGAGCAAGAACACCTGGGGAGACATTGCAACCCTCTCATTTAACCTAGACATGAAAACCACAGCTTCTTTATATAACGGGATTACATGCTTAGATGGGCTCCAAGCCACTCCTTTGGAGATCTATCATGCGGCTCTTCTGGTGTCCTTTGTTCGCACCTTCAAATCTCGACCAGCCCCCAACATCCACTGCGAGGGTCATGGGAGAGAAGTTTGGGATTCGTCTCTCGATCTTTCCCGGACTGTAGGCTGGTTCACCACGATCTGGCCTTGTCCGGTGCCTTGTGACAGCACGGTAGATTTGCTGTCAGCTATTGAAGCTGTCCATGCAGCTCACGCCAAAATGCCATTTCATGGTTGGGGGTACTTCACTTCTCGCTATACCAACCCTGAAGGGCAAAAGGCTTTCCAGACACTCGCAACGCCGGAGATTGTTCTCAATTACTCCGGTCTCTACCAGCAGTTGGAAAGAAAGGGCGCGTTGCTCCAGCAGGCCGAAGAATTTGATGGAACAAACTCAGACATAATCAAGTCTGCACGCAGATTTGGATTGATAGAGGTTTCAGTGATAGTCAAAAAGGGATGCGTGGAGTTTGACATAGGCTACAACCGGCACATGGAAAGGCAAGAGGATATCAAGCGCTGGGTGGGGGTGACGCGAGAATTGCTGGTGGAGATGGCCGAGTCCTAATTAGGCTTCTTTCAGCGCAGATATGGTTCTTCTCCTTGTCCTCTGTCATAATAGAAATCATAAAAATGATCTTCAAGGCGAAAATCGTGGTCAATCTGTAAATCTGCATGACCCTCTTATCGCGTGGTACAGTACCAAACTCCGTATTTCGTTATCAGATCGGAACAGTCACGCTCTCCGGACCTGGCAGCCAGTCACCGCCTTCCCGAAAGGCCACCGCGCCGCAATAATTTTCGGAGGAAGCGTGCGGCCTTTGCACTCCATCCTCGAACCCTTTCCATGCTCATAAACCTCCCTTTCATGCAGTAAATGCTGCTGGGAGGCATCATTCCATATGATATCGCGTGGCTGCACGTGTCTAAGAAGGCCTTTGTCTGCCGCCTTAGATTCCATCGCGGCTGGCCCCGATGAACCACTGCTTTTCCTTTACCCCCGATGGGCCGCGTCGGCCGTCCGACAAAGACGTCCAATCTCATCCTTGACCAGTGCTTCCGCCTCGCCAAAGAACAGGAAGAATACTAGCTTGCCTCCCCATGCTGGTGTCCGTCCATCCGCTTCAACATCATTCGCCCCGACCTGCCGGCACGCGAGCCGATGGATCTCCCACGATGCGGTCTCTACTCAGCTCGATGGTGACTCTTATGTCAAACTGCCCGGTGGTCACGCAGAAGATGAAATCAAAGACAAAGCGGAAGAGAAGGACACAGAACATCTTCTAGATTCGCAACCTGCGATCCAGTCTGTCTCGGCCTTGGAAGACCGGACAGCACCCACCACCAAGCTGAGTGGCGTCTGCGCCCGAGCGACAAAGAAATCAAAATACCCGATACCAGAGGAGTCAGAGGTGTGGCCGCTTACGCCGGGGTCGCGTAATCGTGTTCCGATGGGCCTGTGGGAAAGGACTTTGTCGCCACGGAATCGGAAGCAGGTTCGATACGGCGAATTCACCCTCGAAAGGCAAAAAAGCGAAGGAAGAACTCCCACGCATCCAAAATCTTGGATGGACTTGCGAGATCTGTTGCTGGAGGTGCAATCGCAAAGCAAAAGCACCACTCGGAGGGGCACAAAATATAAAGAATTGTTTATTCCAGAGGAGACCATCGCCCTTATGTCTGGAGCCACTACTCCAGGCAAGGCCATGGAGGAGAATATCTGGCATCTTCCAGTTCGCCACGGATGCCTGGTACACGTTCTCCCTCCCGAGAAGGGGAATGGGCTTTGCCGCAAGGTTGTCTTAATGGGCTCGGAGGGCACCATTGAACTTGTTGAGGAGAGCATCAAGCGGCAGCAAGAGCTGCAAGCTAGTGGAGACCCCCTTGTCGAAGTCCAGAAATCGCCGGTGCCTATCGTTGCTTCGATTCAAAAGCTACGGCAGCTGAATCGTCCAGTGCCATTGGTTCGTGGAACTTGGACGTCCCCTCTGGACGACCAAGAGGGGGTCTCTTTAGATAGGTTGCTCGAAAGCGGTCCTCCATCAGTCGCGTCAGTCAAGGAATTTGCGGATCATGTTGAAGAAGTGGTCAATTCGCAACCCCTGAACCACGTCAAGGCGGGCCGGGAGGGTGAACATAGTAGGCACTCCTATCCGGCGCGGGTTGCGACCCACCTTTCGCGGCTATTTTCCCGCGACTCGAACCGCAAGTTCTGTTCCACTGCTGCTTTGAACAGTGCCCTAAGATATCTGTACAAGAACGAAGGTGTCAGTGTTGCTCGGACCGTGTTCAGTGAAGCAGAGCATCTCGCAACTGTCGACTCATATAACATTTTGCTGCAATCTGCGGCCTTGCGCCAGAACAAGCCAATGTTCGAGTTCTTCTTGAAGGCAATGGCTCAACGGCGCATTCGCCCCAACGCAGGAACCTGGCTGGCTTTGTTGCAGGGCATGCTCACGCAAAAGACCAAGGCCGCGATCATCAAGGATATGGCCAAGAAGGGCTACATGAAAGACATCAACGCTATTCGCAGCGCGCTGCAGTTGACGATTTCAGATTCCTTTTTTGTTCACTTGGAGGGCGGTCGGGACGTGCACAGTTTCTTCGATCTCATGATCAAGACACACGGAGCGGACTGGTTCACTGCCTCGCTACTCAGCCAGATGTTCGATGTGACCTCACGCCTGAAAAATCGCGTTGCTATGCAGGAGCTGCTTGATATCTGCATCGAATATCGTCTTAATATGAATAGTGCTTGTCTCATGCAAATTCTGGATCTGGCTCAAAACGACATCTTCACTGCTCTCGAATACACGTCCCAAATAATGAAACGGGTCTCGTTCAAACTTGAAGGCAATGTTTTGGAAAAGCTTTTCTTCTTCGCCTACAAGGGCTGCCACTACAATATCTGTCGTGTGTTGTGGCATTACGCGTGCATGGAAGACACTACGACCAAACACATGCGAGCGGTAATCCTGGACTCCCTGACTCGCAATGTGTCCTTAAATACGTCCTCCGACGATGTCAGAAAAATCTGGCATATCTGTGCCGGCAAGGTGATTATTCGCCGTAGTGCACGAGCCAAATTCAGGATCAGCCAGGAGCATCTCGATCAACTCCCTCCTGAGTTTCATCACAATCCTTTTCTCTACTTGGTGTCTGGCTTCAAGGCCTCGGGTCCTGAACGAGCACTCCAGCTTAAACTAGCCAAGGCCTATATGCACCGTGATATTCTCACGGGCGCCTTTCCCAAGTACCCTCTGCTCGTGATGTTGGAGGCCGCCGCTACTATGGATCAGGAGTGGGCAGGTAAACCCTGGCCTTTGGCATGGATGCTCCAGAATTCTATCGGAATTTCGGCCACGAGGCAGTCTCAAGTTTTGGAATGAGTCGAAACGTTTCTATTTTTCCTGCATATGTCCACTTATCCCTTATCCGCCCTCTCACCTCTTTCTCTCGATGCTAGCGTGTTGCACTTGATATCCCATTGGTGCGGATTCGTTGAAGATTTGTCATTTACCCTCACCTCACTCATGTACTATTTTTTGTATATATTCATCCACCACTGTACAACACTGACAATATAGAACAATTAGACTTTACATATAATACCAAAACAGACATTGCAAGAAAATCTTATCTTGTCCTAGACCAACTTCTACCGTCGAAGCACCGGCTCCGTTCCTGTGCTAACCATCCAACATGTCGGTGGCATTGGCACAAGTCCTGTTTCAAAATCGTCATGTTGAAGCTGTTTTTGTAGAGACTGTTAAACTAGCCAAGAACAGAAACTTGAAGAACATAGCCGAGGTATGTTCAGTTCGGGCATCTGGAGTGAGGCTTTGATTACCCTCGAGTGACAGTTTACCCTCTCAATTGATTAGTCTCTTTCATTCAAGTTGGGTCAGCATGATCACTCGTCACCCTACTAAATCAACAATCCAGCGCATATTTACTTATAAAGCGATGGTAGGCTGGAAGAATATACACTCGTGTTCACGCTCACCGAACCAATTCATAATGATATACCTGCGAATAAAGTGACACCTGACCAACCGACAAATATTAGCGAGTGGCAAATTGTAGTCACCACATCGATGTCGTCTCAACTCGTGGCAACCACCAAGCTTTATCAAGCTTTTAGCCATGTATCTCGGCGAACACGGATACGGTAGCCGCAGCTCACTCTACCAGCCATAAATGGCATGGTCCAATCATCGTACGTCCGTGACTGGCTTCCTGGACGCGAAATCCTTGGGTCTTAATGCGTCGAAAAAGCCAGCTCTGGTGATCGTGGTCTGTGAGTTGGAGGGGTTAGTCGGGAGTTTCGTGGTGGATCCGCTAGAATAACTTTGCATGATGCATTGCGTGCGTAAGTGTGTATATATGCTGATTTAGATGTTTATCCGATCGGAAGGGTGGATGCTGGTGGCTGGTATATAGTCTCTTGAGAACCGAGTAGTGACTAGTTGGTGCAGGTTTAAGAAATGCATGATTGAGATCTAGGACGGCGAAAGGTCCGTTTTGGTATTGGCTTGGGCGCTAGACTGGCCATGCGCGGCGTTGTATTCTTTAGCCGAAGGGATGACCATATTCGAGGGTTTTTATCTAGTACTGGCACCTTTGAGGGGTGGTGGGGGGGGTTTGTCTCAGCTGAGTATCATTGTGTCGCATTGGCCGCGAGAGAACTCCTGCTTAGCGGGTGCATAGTGTGATGATTGTGGTGGTGTTGTGTTGAACCGAGTCTAGCTCCCTTCGGAGATCGAGCTGAACACGCATGGTTAGTGGCGTGTGGCAGCAGAGAAGCTCGTGGAGGGGGGCGTGGGGCTATCCGGCGATCTTATTCGATGTCGAGCTTGGGCCAGCCCACGGAGGCTCTCTTGTTTTGATGGGAGCACGGGGTAGAATTGAGTGATTTCATTGGCTAGCAACTTGGAGTTTAACTGCGACATGTGCTGTTTTACCCGAAGCGACGAGATTCTCATCTTCTCTTTCCTGTTCCTGTTCTTTTTCTCTGGCACAAAATAATAAATTCTCAAATTAACAGGTTGATCCACTCCCTTGGCAGAGACAAGCAATGCCCAGAAAATGCCCAGCCGGCCACCCAGGCATGCGGCGCTGAAGGCGTTGCTTGTCTCTCTCAGTGTTTGATATGTTCCGATCATCACCAGATTGAGGTATACGCGCAGAGTATTACTTTCGTATACATTTGGTGAATCAATGACTACGTCTCTCATTGGATCTCGATTCACTTGCTTCTGTTCATTTGATCCACCTAGTCCCTAACTAGTATTTCGAATCTATTACCTAGCCGGGTACGCAGACCCAATCAGACCGACCCAATGACACAACGCCAGTCACTCTTTGGCCTTGTAATGGCCATTCCGCGCCGTTCTAGAAGTGATTTTCTCCACTTGAATCCCACCACTAACTTCTATCCAGTATCCATCCCCTCAGTTCACGCATCGACCGAGCACGCCCTTCTCACCTTCCCACTCCCGGAGCATATCCACCGGTACGCACTGCGCCGATGCAGGCACGAGTGGGTTTAATTTCCTATCGCCTGGCCCGGCAATCTCGCCGGACTGGTTCGGACTGACCTTCGATATCTCCACTGGCGCGTGCCGGATGGATCCCTCCCTTCGGTCAGAGCACCCGAGACGCGATACCCCGACCTAGTGCCGGAACGGAAATTGCAAGACTCCACCGATGTCACCAGTCGTGCGCTCATCTATGCCTGCGATAGGATGATCCAGCTGTGCCAGAGCTGCAACTCTTCGGCTCCGAGTGCGCTTAGACCTGGTTCGAGGTCAGAACGTGGCTTTCCTAACTAACCTTCGGTTGCATGGTTAGGTACTTTGCCTGCCAGCCATGTCTAGCGGATGGGCAGGGCGGCCAGGATAAATACGATCATCTGCGCCAGTCCAGAAGCTTTTTTCCTTTTTTTCTTCTTCGAGTCACAGCATTTCTTTCCCTCCCTGAGCTGACATCCTTTGTGGTTTTTGAACATTGAGTTCACTTGCTACCGTGATTCACAATGGATCCGACTACCAAGGAGGCTATCTCCATCGAGGAGATGGAGGTTCACGAGAAGGCCGCCTTTGACGATGTCATTCGCCCAAAGGACTGCTATGCCCCAGATGGGACCTACTGGGCCGATCTGCCTTTGAGCCAGCGTATCAGCTTCTGCTTGGAGCAGGACCGCACCGAGGCGAGCAAGGAGTTCTCTTGGCTCTGGACGGAGTTCAAGAAGGACCCTCTGTCCCCAGTCACCCATTACTTCAAGAACTTTGTTCTTCCTGGTGCCGGTCTGGGTCTTGAAGGGTATGTGGAGTCTGCCGATTCGATGTGTATATGGAATCAAGCTGACTAGCGACTTTATAACAGTTACGTGCTCTTCTCCATCAGTAACAACACTGCCCTTTTCGATGCCTCCTTCAAGAACTGCTGGAAGGGCAAGACTTGCGACAAGAACTGGATTGCTGCCATCAACTACATGGAGATTGTAGGTATCATCGTTGGCCAGATCCTCGTTGGTTACTTGGGTGATTCGTACGTTGCATCTCTCACAAAGATCCCTCCAATTCCAAGCAGGACTAATCTCTAATCTGTGCAGTATCGGTCGTCGTTGGGGTCTGATTCAGGATGCCGGGATCATGTTCGTCGGTCTCCTCATGCTCGTGGCCGCTTGGGGTCTCACTGAGAACGGCTGGGTGATCTGCTACGCCTGGTCTCTCTTCTTCTACTCCATCGGTGTCGGCGGTGAATACCCCATGACTGCTACCATTGGTATGGAGAATGGCTACGGCTCGGGCAAGATCGTTACTTCCCAGGATCGTCTGCACCGTGGCCGCTCCGTTGTCGGTGCCTTCATGATGCAGGGTTGGGGCCAGTTCGCCAACCAGGCCATCCTCATCATCCTGCTCCTGATCTTCCACCATGGCACCGGTGCCCTTCCTATTTCGACCACCGCGACTCAGTGGACTTACCGTGTCTCTTTCGCTATTCCTGCCGTCGGAACTGCCTGGCTAGTCTACTACCGTACCTACCACATGAAGGCTGCTAGTAAGCAGCTCGAGGCTACCAAAAAGAAGGCCTCCGTTACCGGTTATGACACCGAATCTTTGAAGCTCACTTTCCGTTACTTCACCCCTCGTGTTATTGCGACCGCTGGTGGCTGGTTCGCCAACGACGTCTTCTTCTACGGCAATAAGCTCTTCCAAAGCAAGTTTATCAAGGTCATTAGCCCTTCAAGCTCCAACAACGTTACCACTAGCTGGCTGTGGAACTTGGCCAACATTGGTGTCAGCTTGGCTGGTTACTACTGCGCTACCTGGTTCATCGATACTAAGCTCTACGGCCGTAAGTGGATGCAAATTGTCGGTTTCCTGATGTGTTTCATCCTCTTCGTCATCCCTGCCTTCAAGTTCGAATACTACCAGGAGCCCGCCCACATTCACTCCTTCCAGGCGATGTACTTCTTGAGTTCGTTCTTCAACCAGTTCGGCCCGAACTGTGTCACTTTCCTCGTCGCCGCCGAGGTCTTCCCTACCCCTATCCGTGGCACTGCCCATGGTATCTCTGCTGCCGCCGGTAAGCTCGGTGCCCTGATCATCGCCGTCATCGGCTCCTACACCACCACCCAGCAGCAATTCTACATCGTTCCCTGGTTCGGTCTCGCCGGTGTCCTAGTGACCTGGCTGTTCCTCCCGGACACCACCGGCCTCGATCTCCGCGAGCAGGAGCGTCGCTGGCGCTTCATTCGTGAGGGCCGTGATCAGGACTACCACGGTCCTGCCGTGCACTCTAAGCACTTGTCTGTCTGGGAGCGCTGGACCGGCAAGGGCAAGCATTACGATGCCGAGTTGGACTACAAGATGAAGGTTGAGGAGTTCCGCGAGGAGTGGGAGGCTGCTATTGCTGCTCGTGGAGAGGAGAAGACCTTGTTTGACACGGATGATGTTGATGAGAACATCCTGCACGGCTCGATGCATGCCTACTTTGAGCGTACTAGCCCGGAGATCCGTGGTATGCGCAAGGAGATCCAGGATCGCATTGCCCTGCCTACTGCTGCTTCTGCTGAGGACCAGAAGACTCTTGCTGAGCAGTAGATATATGTGGATGAAAGGGTGCTGACGTATGCTGCCTGTATATCGTGGTTTCGGAGATGTCTGACAGGTTGTGTTTTATATTAATGCTGGGCTGATGCGAGATGGATTCCGGAGGAGGAAATCTTGGCTGGCTGGAAATACCCCCAAATATCATAATTTCTTTGTGTCTATCAGAATTACTACTGTGGTTATCATCATTTTCAAGAATACCGAATGAACCTTTCTTCTTGGTCAAATTTCGCATGCTTCTTTTTATATTTCAAAATAATAGAGCTCCTTCCACTTTGGTATATAGCACTGGGCAAAGCCTATAGAGGCGATTATCGACTAAAAGAGAGATAGTATTAGGAATAGAATAAGAGAGATCAATCTTTGGTTGACACCGAGTGATATGGAACAAAATACTGATGCTAACAATCTATGGTGTATCATTAGTCAACAGTACGAGGACAAATTTTGAGATAATCCCCAAAGAGTGACAGGCCAAGGAGTCGAACTTTCACCTTCATTTACTGCAGAACAAAAATGAAAATACCTTGATTGTGTGCATGAATACGACATCACCATTAGGTATTCGGCTTCGGTGATAGGCAGGAGGGCATGTGACTATTCCGGAACAACTTATTCCCGGGTCCCCACATCCAGCAACCTTCCGTCGCCTTCTGCCAGAAAAGTCCCCCCATCAGACGACCAGTTTCGATCATCCCCCCTGCGTTGCTGATGTCTTCCAGGACGCCGCCATCATGAAGTTCTTCGAGAATGTGTTCACCTATGACTACTCCTTCCCTGCCGTCTCTCTCGCCTACTTCCTCCGCTATCCTAACCCCTACTCCCGTCATGTCCTCACCACCGATGTGATCGACCGCTATGTCGATCCGGCCACCCAGCGCCTACATACCATCCGTCTACATCTGAAGAAATCCAAAATCCCATCTGGCATCCTCAAATTGCTGCCCAAGGGTATGGGTGGCTCCGACAGTTCCGGCCAGAGTTATATCCTCGAGACCACCGTGGTTGACCCCAATGAAGGCTGGATGGAGACCGAGTCTCGAAACATGGAGTGGACCGGTATCCTCAGTGTGGTGGAGAAACAGCGGTATCAGCGCCATCTGACCGAGGATAACTCCCAGCCCCTCGACGGTCTCTCGGTCGATAAGAAGGAGCAGACTACCGTACGGACCACCGTCACTTTCCGCTCCCGCCTCGGCCAGGGCAAGTTGCTCGGTCGCAAGAAGGCGGATGCGATCGATCACGCGGACGCTGAAGAAGAGGCTCCCAAGAAGGGCTTCTTCTCGTCCTTGTCTACTGCCGGCATCCAGCGGACCATTGAATTGATCGGTGTGAACCGAACTCGCGAGGCTGTGTTGAAAAGCAAGCAGGGCATGAACGTGGTTTTGGAACGTCTGCGCAGTGGGGGGATCGTCGGTGTTCTCGAGGGCATGCGCAAAGATCGCGAGGCTGCATTTGGACCCGATGCCCCCTGGAAGCGCGTGTGGTTGCAAGGCAATGGCCTCAAGGAGCGTGTCTACGTCGATGACGATGACAACTGAAGGGCCGGATTGCGGCTCCTTTTCTCCTCTTGCTCTTATATTTCTCGATCTCTCTTTGATCTTCGACTTCTTTGCATCTTCGCATCTCCGCATCGTTGCGGTCTGAGCGTATCTCCTTGCATCTTCTGATTTTATCAAGCGTGGCGTTTCTGGAGTTGGGGGACACTATCGACGGACACTCTCCCACGACATTCTTTGTTTATCTTTTGCTGTTGGAATTTTTGGATATGTATATTGCCTGGTTGGGCTTATATCGAGGATTCTGCGCCTCACTTGTGTATATTAGGGAAATTGGATGTGTTGGTGCGGCCCTGCTTATGTTGATGGAGGCATGCCATTTTGTACAATTATGATATTTATCAATATATTTTTCATCGACACGCTATCTCGATTTTTGAGTCTCATCATCTCTTGTGCTTGAGCATCACTTGGAATTTTCAACTTCAGCAGGTGTAGATCGTCGAGAGCCGCGGCGCAACCGAGATTTGAACGGAGAGAACTGAACGCGGGGTAAAAATAGACTAACCAACCACCACTGCACCCGCAATTGAAAAGTAATTCAAGGCACATGAATAGTAGCATAGAATAAGACTGGCACGAAGTAAGCCGCTCGAGTCCACTCAAGTCCACTCGAGTCCACTTTAGGCATCTTTATGCGGAGTGCAAGCTTATCGCACAGGATCTACTGGTCAACTGTATAGTACTGATAAGATGCTGCAGTTTCAGGGGAGGGAACTACTGAATGCCCTCGTTGGTAAATCTATATGAACTAGCAATGGACCCATATCATTTTCGCTTGTCAATTCTATCGGCATATGGCTTCTAGGCTTTGGTCGTAATGGCAGTTTCCGACGTCTTAGCAGCGTGGGAGGAATGCTCCAAGATAGACACGCTCTTCATCCTTGTCTGCTGTGTCTTTTGCTGGCTGATCATCCCCGCAGTTGGCCTCGGTTATTCGGGCTACTCCATTCACCGTAATGGCCTTGCATCCTTTTATCCAAGTCTTCTCGTTATCGCCGTGTGTTCCATTCAATGGTGGATCGTCGGGTACTCAATAGCATACGGAACCGGGGGTGGTATTATTGGAGGCTTTGATAAAGCTTTCCACTTTGATGTCCTCGCAAATCCTATAGGGACGATACCAGAGATTCTGTTCTCTGAGTTTCAACTCATCTTTTGTGCTACGGTGTGCGTTATTTCGATTGGTGGGGCTTGTGAGCGAGGGAGGATACTTCCATTGATCCCGTTTATCTTTGTATGTCACAGATTTCCCCTAACGACGAGTTGTTAATGATGGTTTCTAACTCAATTTGAAAACCAGCTCTGGTGTACCTTTGTCTATGAGCCACTCGCGCACATGGTCTGGTCAGAGACCGGATTCCTGGGCTCACTAGGCGTTCTCGACTTCGCTGGTGGAACACCCGTTCATATCTGCAGCGGAGCATCAGCCACAGCACTGAGTGTCTACCTATCACATCCTCTTTTCCGATCAAGACGATCTGCTTCTCGCACACCACAGCACTTGAAGCTCCACCGGCCGCACAATAGCATGTGCCAGCTTCTAGCTTTGATGATCATCTGGAATGCCTGGCTAGCCTTTGACGCTGGTACAACCCTTGCTCTGAATTTCAAGAGTATCATGACCGCGGTGGTGACCAATATCTGTGCCTCGTCTGGTGCATTGACTTGGGCCATCATCACGTATCGGGAGACAGGGAAATGGAGTCTTGACAGTACATTCATGGGCGCAATCGCTGGCTTGATCATGATTACTCCAAGCGCTGGCTTTATCGATATGACTACGGCATTCTTCTTTGGGATTGCAGGAGCAGTGATTTGTCGACAGGCACTGCGAATCAAATTCACCAAATTGGCTGTGAGCTGGAGATGGGTTGATAACGGTGATACTTTTGCAACTCATTGCATCGGTGGCTTGGCCGGTACTATAGCCACTGGTTTGTTTGCACGGAGAGATGTGGCCGCATATGATGGAGCAACGGAAATACTCGGTGGGTGTTTCTTTGATGGTAACTGGAACCAACTCGGAATTCAGATCATTGAGGCTGTCGTTGGCTTTGTCTGGAGCTTCGTTGGGAGTTATGCGCTTTTCGCACTGATTGATTGTGTGCCGGGCTTTGAGGTCCTGGCTACTGATAGGTAAGTGATGAGAAATTCTTTGGAACTGAGATGACCGATACGGGGTCTTCAATCAACTGCCTGCTAATATGATGATAGTGAGATTGTACTGGGGATGGACGCCTCGCAGATGGGAGAGTCGCTTTACGAAGCACAGTGGGTTGATGAGGAAGACTACTACCCATTCTCAAACGAGTGTCGGTTGGACTAAACATAAATCGACCATCATTTTCTTTTCGGAATATTCAGCCCTTCATAGTGCTATGTTCAATTGTACGACAGCATTAGTATAATCAGTAACCGCATACAGTGAGGCTTGTTGCTTAATTTTACTCTAAGACAATCATGAAAGGCTTCTTCAAGTTTCATCTTTGGCAATTACTGGCTTGCACACACACCCCGAGCCTATCTTTTTTTCATTATGATTGATAGTGTGGTTTTCTTACACCCATGGTTCATCGTACTCTTCGACTGCTCTACGTTGATTTCCGATAGCAAGATCAATAACTTTGGACTGAATGCCTACTATGGGTTGACAACGGAAATGAAAGTCCTCACTCTGCTATGTTAAAGGTTATTACTCATTGACTTTCATTATCAACAATTTTCTCTCGTTCTCAACATGACTATTACATCGACAATCTTCACGAGGCCCATAATCTACGATAATGACCTCTTCAAAAAACATGAATTCTCCAAAGTCCTCTGATTCATGGGTTGTCAAGGACAAGGAAGTCAATCTGTCAGAGCAAGAAATCGTTGCTCTATACAATTTAACTGGTTCATTCAGTCCAATTGGCTCCGAACGCCCAGGAGGTTTCAATGGGGAGGAGCAAGAAAGACTTATTCGAAAAGAATCACAATCCCCGAGGAACTAGTTCCAACTACCTTCGAGGGATTCCAGGCTGCGGGCGCACTCCGCCAGACCTGGGTTGAGAATTCGTCAGTGCCATGTCCAATTGGCCATTCTGAACTGACCGTTCAGCATCTTTTGGATCTAGGTTGGTCTATTCAGGATCGTGAGCCCTACTTGAATTGGTTCGAGGTTGATCAAATTCGGGGTCTTGATGTCCCGCAAGATCCCGAAAACCCAACTGGCCGATTGGAGGACCTTGATTACAGATATGAAGAATGGAGTGGACAGGGCACTAGGTGGATTGTATGGACCGGTCCAGGACTACTCGTGGTATCTGACATGGAACGAGGCCTAGATTCTACCTCTCCATCTATTGCGGAGGTGACCAAGATTGTGTACGAGAGGGCTTTTGATATCGATGGTCTAAAGCACCTATTTTTTCAAAATGTCGTGAACAGGCAGACTCAGGCATTCATCAAGCGCCTCCTCTATACGACGGAACGTCTTGGATATACATGGTTCGATCACCATGGAGACCGCCGTGTCTGGAAGAGGAACTCTCCGGAGTATCAGGCTCTTCTAGGAACTCGAATAGGGAAGATTGTTCTATATTTGATTCTGGTATCGTATCCGCGTGGCTCACGACGCATTGCAAGGATGGTGACCTATCATCTTGCAGCAGTCAACATACGATTTGACATTGAGACTCTTCGCCGTTCTTCGCGGCGGCGCAGGTGTCTCTCGTGTTTACAAGGTGGATGCGGGGGCTGCTACGTTTTGTAACCATTCTGAAGATATTTCTACCGTATCTTTTTTTTTCATACTCCCTCTGAAGGCAGATTTCCTTTCAATTTCAAATAAATTAGCATATTACTTTGATCTTTGCTCTATCTTTGCATACCTGGCTTCATGCAGACTCGAGTCCAGATAGCAGAAATACCGGGTATTATAAGTATGTTTCAGTAGTCTACTCTATATAAGAAGATCAATTTGGTTTGTGAGGTCCTTTAGATCTTGAATGAAAGCCAGAGATAAATTTGGTGAAATACATCGGAGCGGAATGAATACCCATAAAGCTTTTGACGCCGGTTTACTCTCACGAATACGCCTGCCATTTGCCACTCAAGATAATTAGATAATTACACATTTTATCACCTTGTTGTCAGAGTCGCGCTGTCTGGACCCCTGAAGCTGGTGTGCGGTGTGCGGCAAGGAAAAAGTGTTTTTTTTTTTTTTTTGCATTCATCAGTCTCAATTCTTTAGATTGAAAGCCATCTTTGTTCGAATTCGAAACTCTATGCATTCTGCTAAAGCTAGTGACAATAAAAAGCCCCAAGTTCACGGAAGAAACATCTAAGAGAGCTCTGCAGCTGCTAAGTCCCAATTCACCAGGCCAAGATCTCGCTCTGTGCTCCACAGCTGATAGCGGCACAAATCTCCTCATCCTTCTCACTGACCTTCGAGTTGCATGCCAACTTCTGTTTTGCTGGCCAGATTTCCCGACCCTCGGCCTTTTCACGGTCAAAATGCTCTGTAATAATCTGGCGAACTGTGCTCTGGAAGAAGATGGGTGCCTTCTCAAATTTGGGGTGGAGTTGACCATTGATGAATACGTTTCGATCCAAGTTCAACTGTTGGTTGTTGCAAAGAACTTTGTCTTCGCCCATGACACGGGCGTACATCTCGCTGATGAGCTTAAAATCGGCGTCCGAGGAGTTTCTGTTACGGTAGACTTCGTATGCCATCTTGGAGCTATTGGGACTGCTGGGGAGGAATTTCTGGATCATTATGAAATGTGGTCTATAAATCGAGATCAGACAGTTTCATAGAACAGGCCCATAGTGAGGCAACTTACGAGACGACCATTGCAGTGACGGGGAAGTAGTAAGTGCTGGCAGTATAGAGACCCTTAGCAATCTGCTCTGGCGTGGAAATACAGCGATGTTGAATGTGACCGTCCTTGAGGTCGCTATCGAAGGAGTCGAGGTTGAGGAATTCTGGGATATCGGCGTGCGTCGTGGGACAGTGATAACATTCGTTGAAGTTATCAGCCAGAATCTTCCAGTTGTAGTGTCCATCTAGCTCATACGAGTGGTCAAAGTCATAGTTGTCAAAATTATAGGCTTTGTATCGCTCTTGCTTGTCCACATCGCGGAAATGATCCTCCCAGGATACTTCCGCAACTTCCTTTGAGTCCATGTTGACCCAGATGAAACCATTGACATCGATCTTGACATGAACGCGGAAGAGACTGTTTTGGTCTTTGTCGATGCTATTATCTTCTTTAAATCCAGTGGCTTTGGCCAATTTACCGTTCAGTCCGTAGGACCAGCCGTGGTAGCGACAAGACAAGATCTTCGAGTTCCCAGAGCCCTCCTTCTCAATAACTGGATACGCACGATGTCTGCAGATGTTGTGAAACGCGTTGATATTTCCTTGTCGGTCACGGGTAACAATGATGTCGAAGCCAGCAAGTTCATATCGGAGCCAGTCACCAGTCTCCTTGAGGCGTGAGCTATGGGTGAGAAAGATCCACCTCCTGGAGAAAATGGCCCGCCGCTCCAGTTCATACATTTCCCGAGACGTGTACCATGATGAAGGCAAAGCGCGTACGGGTTCGTTCTTCACTTCGTCTTTAGCAGAGGGAGAAGCATTGCTGCCGAAGCCGAAATAATGCATCATCGAAGTCGCCATTGCGTTTAAGGCGGTATAAAGATCGCAAGATCGTTTGAATAATGATTGGATCGAGTCTCTGATTATAGACCATCGGAATCGAAGGGCCTTGTACTCCATAATATATACCAGAACTCGTCCCAGGTATCTCATCGGGGTGTACTATCTACTCCGATCAGGTGATTTGCCTTATACTCCAAATTGGTCAAGTAACCCAAAGCTTAGCGCATGAGGTCGCCCAAATTAGGCACTGGAACCGTCAATCTAGGACTGGGGCGCTTGATACCAGCTATACCTTGGTGCTGATTGGGCTACCTTTCCCCGGCAGAGCCGAAACGCTTAAGGCCAACACCTCAAAGGCTGCAGTTGCCGCCACTAAGCTTGGGAGCTAGGCACGACGGACTACTGCGGAAGATCTCATGGTTGACCAATGATAAGCCTCAGATTGGAGGATTCTTTGACACGAGGCCCCACATCCCCAGGATGATAAGACCCCAGACCCTTCGGCTTCGTAGCCGAGCACGACGTGGGGGTTCGGCATCCCCGAGGTATAACTATAGATCCTCGTACAAACCTTGGATAGTGGCGTTTTATCACCTATTTGTCACACATGATCACCATCGGCTCGGTTTTCAGAGCCGAACCGTCTTGAATGAATCATTAGTGCTGCTAGGTTTATGTGTTGGGCAACAAAGGTCACTCTTGTGCTTCATATGCGTGCCACGTAGCCATTTGGTAAGAATTGAATCAATCATAGGGATAGTTTCACCATTGGTGAGACTTTTGGCAAGCAAAACAGTCATAATTCGCAATAATTATTGCATTTGTTGCTCCGATGCACACCAAAGGCAAGTTTCGACTTGAGAAAGGAATACGCTCTAACCTTGATGCTAATACAGTCGTGGTATTCGTATTCCCTAGGAGCCTTTTTTCTACAAAAATGGAAATTCGTCGCGTGAGCTACGTCAAGCAACCGAATGGTCCAAATAGGGAGGTGGAGAGGAAATAATTTGGGCCGGTGCGGGGTTCCGACCAGAACGACCGCAGCCGCAGCTTTCTTGGTTTAAGACCTTATCTTGTCGCACTGGAACTCATGGCTGGATCATAATGCAGCCTGCTCCACGGTCGGATTCGATTGGTGCGAATCGGAAGCAGAGGAGGGCTGCTATCGCGTAAGATTCCAATTGCTTCGTACGCAAACACACCCGTTTGACATGGAGATGTCGCAGATGTACCGCCTGCAGGCAGAGCAAGATCAAATGCTCTGGCGACGAGCCATGTGCCAATTGCCGAAGACGATCCCTGACTTGTCAGTTTGCGGAGGGGAATAACAAGATCCTGGTTTCCGAAAGGTTTTTTATCCCTCAATTCCTTATCTTCACTGGTGGCATTTGACTAATAGGTTGGGACTGACGACAGATACCTTCGAGATTTGCAGAAACAGGCATATAATTGGCAAAGAGCAACAGGTGTCAAGCGTTCTCGAGAGGACTGTTTCCGATTCGATGATGATCTCGATGCAGGGCATATTGTTAACGAATTTGGTGCCACCGCAGAGCTTCTAGGCTCAGCGCCTGGGGAATCTCCTACTTCGCCTGCAGCTGATTTATCATGCACTATCTGGGCAAGCCCCTTCACTCTCCCAACAACCGTCATCAAGGACACGCATCAAGAGCAAAGGAATTGGAGTGAGTGATGCATCTTGTATCGCTATATCTTGTATCTCTCATGGTCTCACGCTTGGATAGTTTGGCTGGCCCCATCTTCGGCATGGTCCCTCACAGCTCGACTTATCGTTATGATGACAGAAAAGCTCGAGGTTGATTCCACCAATGATCCGCCTCGATTTTACCTGGACGGAGATATCTATCCCTTTGCATGGAATCGCGTCACGAATGCTGACCCAGTCGACACAAGCGGCCTACCCTCTCTCGATTACGCTCTTCATCTATTCCAAATCGTTCAATTCCACCTTGGTCAGGCGTACAGAATCTTCGACCAGGATTCCTTCGTCACTCGAATTCGTCAATTCTACAACAGTCCCTCGGACGGAAAGGCTGCTGAACCTCGCTTCTGGTTCGTTCAGCTCCTGATGGTGCTGGCCCTCGGTAATGCTTTTCTTTCGAGGCCACGCAATCACAAAGACCCTCCTGGAGCGAAATTCTTTGCACGTGCCATGTCGGCTATGCCAAACTATACAAGTACTGGAAAAGATAGCCTTCTTGCCATCGAGGCCCTGGCATTGGTGGGGCTGTACTTATATGCTATCGACCATAGAGAAGCAGCTCATGTTCATGTATGCATTGCAATGTTTCTCGCGTCAAGAGGCCTTGTTGACTTCTAAAAATCTAGGTTAGCCATGCGATTCGAATTGCACAGCTGGAAGGAATGCATACGCAACTCCCCGAAGAAGTTCTTGGGGCTATGACGGTTGCTCGGTGTCGTAATCTGTGGTGGTCTTTGTACATCATGGATCGTCACTTTTCACCATCTTTGGGACTTCCGATGACAACCAAAGACAGTGAAATTACTACGCTGATTAGCTCCCCAAGCTCCAGTCCTCGAGATCTTGCATTTAGTCTTCAAGTGAGAATCACGCGGATGCATTCATTCATCATTGGCAGTAAGTCTCTCTTCGCTATCCTTCTTGCCTCCATACGAGTCTGACTGTCATACTGTGAAGCTATATACAAGACGGAAAAGACTCCACTTGGTACTTTCTTAGAGATAACTCGGAGTATCCTAGAGACTATGGCTAGGTATGCCGAGGAGATCGAGAAGATGATCCATGTCAGCTTTCAGGGCTCCATAGACAATGTGTCCGAGGAAACACGTCACACAATATTGTTGTATCATCAAGTAAGTAAGACCCGTTTCTCACTTTACTCTAAAAATTGTCTGGTTGACATCCCCTAGTGTGTTATCGTTGCCACGAGGCCGCTATTGCTCTCCGTCCTCAAGGAGCGACTTGAAAAGCTTGGCGGGGCCGAAGAGGACTGGCAGAAATTTCTGGCCCTTCCCATATCCTTGATATCTATTGGCATCAAATCAGCTGAGAAAACGCTTCAAATCATTGGTGATGAGAATGGCCTTCTCGGTACGTCTGACTGAATTTTCATGTCTGATCGCATTAACTCACTGGTACTTAGAAACATTCTTACCTTTTGATCTTGAGTTAACCTATGCAGCTGCTCTACACTTAACGATGGCCAATGCACTCTTTCCTCCCAATACGGATAACCAGTCATATGGCCATGTGGCGCATTTGATTCTTGACGAAATGGTCCTTTCCGGCAACCGGGTTGCGGAAGCACGAAAACGAGAACTTATTCGTATTGAGGGTTTATTCCAGGAACTCGCCAGACGAGTCGAGCAAGAAGGCCTTCGAATTTTGACATTAGCGGATCAAGGGCTCACAGATCTTGCTCCTCTGAACGTTTCTAGCCAGTCTCAATCAGGAGAAAGACCCGTTGCAGAGCCAGCAATGGCTTTCCAGTCTTCTGTGCAAGAAAATCGACCGTCTTCTGCGGGCTCATTTACTCCGGCCAACGTTGAGTTCCTTGATAGTATTGGAATCTCTTCCAACGAATTCCTTTCTATCGTCGATCAGATACACAACCCAGGGATGCCGTATGGTGCGTTGGATGTTCGGCCAGATTGGTTGTCAGGAGAAGATCCTCCCTCATTTACCATTGAATGAGCGATTTGTTACATTCTAGACTTAGAAAAGTTGTAGAATTTGGCTGTCTACAGAGTGATTATCAATATCACCATATCGTTTCGATATGTAAAGGATCGATAAGTCAATGCACAGCCTTGTTTGGAGTCTAACAATTTTCATTATCAAATCAGTTCACCAAAAATTGTTTTTTGGCAGGAACACCCATCTTTGATCTATTTACCTGAACCTCAGGTGGAGTTGGAGTTGTCAGCGCAAGAGAACGCAGCTGATCCCCCAGACTCTTTATAAGAATATATAATCCCACCTATTGACCCATAGGTGCCTGCAACAGTGAGAAAGCAGGCAAGCCAAGTAATTTGACCGAGAGTATGCACACTGCTAAGCGTAAATTCTTAATTTGCCGCAACTGCAGAGAACACAGCGGTGCAGGCACCCTGGCTTGAAACTGCGCTGAACCCGATAGAAATACCGAGTCCAGAGCCACTGACAAACACCCAATCTACCAAGCTGTTAGAAAGCGCCTTGTGGACTCCTTCTTGGAAAACTTACAATCTAGGGGTGCTACCACAAGCTGGAATACAAATATGAATTCCGAGGCTACAATGATATTTGAAACTCATCGGACAGTCTGTTTAAGGAATCCGATAAAGCTTCCAAATCCCAACCAGCAACCTCAAGCACATATTGACATGACTTTTCATTCAATCAAAGGAGGCATGCTCATTATGCATCTCAATCTTTCAATGCTCTATACACACAAGCCCCAAATATCGTTGCGGGCGGTTCATGCTGTAATTGCGTGTGGGCAAGAACCGGGAGTCCGGCCGTAGCGGGGGGGGGCAACATGCGGTGTTTTTCAGGCCATGATTTGGAAAGAGATACTCAGTCAAGATAGCTGTTACACGGCTAGTGGTTTCTGGACTCCCATTATCTGAAGCAATGGCGGGTTCGATCTCCTTTTTGGAATAACTCCTCCATAGAGGTTCCGTTATCATTGGATTAGTGATATAGATGGCCCTCTGTATGAAACATGCTTTGAAGGCAAAGGATCTACGCCATCACATTGTATTGTAGATAAGGAGGCACACGGTATCTATTATTATTGTGGAATCCAATTGTTTTCGCTGGGTCATGAACGCAGTTTAAGCCCATTACTGGATCGGCAGCCACGCCCGAGCCAAACTTACCGCATAGTATAGGGATTCGGGACAGCCGAGGACGGGATATTATTGGAGTATCCACAGGTCAAGGTATAAAAGTAATGAACTTTACGGTACTTTTAGCGGATTATCTATAGTTGTCTCTCAACTTTTCTAGAAGTGCTGAGCATACAGACTATCCTCGCGATCAAGTTATCTGCCTCAGCCTAGGTGACCGCAAGCTACCAAGCCTTAACATTCAAGCATAGTGCCGAAAAACTCGCCGTGGGGCATGCTATCGACGGAGATTGAGCATTTCAACGAATGGAAGAGCCATGACATGCTACTACCAGGTGGGCCACAAATTCCCTACTGTCCACGTGCTTACTCTCCAGAGCCTTTTCCCAACGCGCAGTCGCAACGGACATCCTCTAGATCCACCAGGGCGCCACCCCCCGAAATGGCCGCCTAACTGACGGTCTGAACTCTGGATTTGTCACCGCTTATCAAGGCCGTCAATATGGGGCTCAATCAATGAGAAAGCTCACTTCGGGAATTGTGACCCGCTACCAGGCTTACGCGAGCGTCCGATTGCGAATTCGAGGCTTTACAGGCCATCAACTATTCTGTGGAGTGGAACGTAGCACGAGAGAACGAACGTCAGCGCAAGCTACTGGAGGCTATGCGTCCCAGGTCGTGCGACAAGCTCTGCTGAAACAGCCCTTAAAAAAGGGTAAGCTGATAGCATTGGAGAGGATGGACGGTTGATAGGAAGTCACGATAGCCCTCGATTGGTCAGGATTAGTATACCAATTTGTGATTTCTAATGGGGATACTCTCGTGTTTGGCGTATCTCCCTGCGGGGGGCGGTCTCTAGCCATTTAGATGTGTTTGTCGGCCCAAGGACTATTAAACCAAGTCAGGTACATGACTCTGTCGTAATCCTTGCTCTGGGTCCTTCGAGTCCTTTCCCTCCTGGACAAACATTTCTGTTTGACATCTCAACAACCTCGCAAAGGAACAATGTAGGATCAGTAAAAGCCATTGTACAACCCGAGCCGGACAGCTCAGGCTCTGACGCTTCCTGCTCTAGCCCGACAATCCGCCAAATGATAACCCGTCAAGACTTGAAGTGCCGACCGACTGACTCTATCGGCCTCACGATGCACCTAAAGGGTTCTCATTGGTGGGGGCGCCACCAGTCCACCACAGATCCCGAAGCGTTAAGGATTTGCAGGTCCAATGAAAACGCGCTATCTGAGACTCCCAGTTCCATCTATGACGCAGGGCAACATTCGTGATGCTCCTTTCGGAATGCTCCGATTCCCACTTGATGCGCTCCTACGACAGAGGGAGATAGAATGGGTCCACTAGTGTGGTATCATCAGGCCCGCAACTCCACGTAGGGCCGGGGAGTTGAATGATTGACACGAGTCGATCACTCGCTATGTATGGATCACCATCTCAGATCTGATACAAGACTATGTCCGGAGTCTTCCTTGGCAGAGGATGAAATGCACCGGGGGTGCAATCGGAGCGCATCGTATACACGGATGTTTTCTTCTGTAAAGGCACCACAAGGGTATACAGACTATGAAGCATGTCGTGATGGATAATGAGATCTATCTGCGCCACTGTTCTGCAGGGCCTGAAATGCACCGCAAATAAGTGGAACGATGGATTAATGTGTAAGGAATCTTGCATCCCAATACCGATCATCAGGTTGGGGGTCTTCCGACATGATTTCCGTCTTCAAGCCAAGAAGATGAGAGTATCAACAAGGTTCGTGGGCGCAATTCGAAGTTCTTCTAGTTGGCACCTGGGAAACTAACCACGTTACATGGAATCCATATTCTGATCTCACATTCCATGCTTGACTCGGTTTTGGGAGCGATATGACCGAATGATGGGTGAACTCTGGGGGTATCTGTGTCATGTAGCGTCCCGCGTGCAGCAAATTGTTGATGGTGTATCTCATGCACCAATCGAAGTGAGATATCGAGTATTCCGGGGAGTCCCTTTCTCATGGTCCGTCGGTGGCCGAGGGGTGGAAGAGAGTGGTAGGAAGGGCAAAGTTGAGTGGCTGGTCCCTGCTTTCAGCAACCCCTGTGAAGGGTGACCCTGAAAGATCACCGTCTATATTTTCCTATCTGGGCGGGCGGTAATGCGGGGACTCGCCGAGAAGGTCCCGTGATTGTCTCGTGATTCGCCAGCTGAGGACCGGCTGCCTCCGCCCAACTACATCCAACTGGTTCATGCCTCAACTCCACTAGACTCCACACCCGCCACCCAATCCCTAACTTGCTTCCCTAGTGCCTTTTTTGCTCTTTCCTGCCAAGAGTCTAAAAAAGAAGAGGGAGAAGGAATCCAATGGTAATGCCTGTGGCCATCGAGCAATGCTGCGAGACCTTCCGATGACATGCTGGGCCTCTACTCTGACAACGAGCGCTGCAGGTAGCCCCGAGGTAGCAAGTCCCCCACAGCCACCCGCCGGGCCTTCCTGTTTCACTGGTATAATCTGGTCCGGTCCATTCGCCTGAGAATGTGCTGGAGAAAAACAATACTTTCTGGATTATTTATTAATTTAATCGCTTGCATCCATCCTCGGACAATTGCCGGTACCGCTGCCCGCTGTGGCTCCTGGGCAATCATCGAATTGTCGAAATTATCCCTTTGACCTCGTTACATCCCAAGGCCCAATCTCCCTTCCCTGGTTCATTTCCCTTTCGCAGGACTTGGCTTGTCCATTGGGAACTGCTAATCTTATCGACATCCACTCTCGAAGACCCTTTTTCTTTATTTTCCTGCTGGGCGTTATCTATTCCGAGCACAGAACTCCGCCGTCCGCCTTCGCCAATTGGGTCAACCTTGGAAAAAGAGGAGCCAGTCGGAAAAAGCCACAGGGACCCAAGGCCACCAAAACAACGCCGTGTCCCTAGTGCTGCGGGGACCGTTTCCCTTGGCTTCCACTGTTGGAGTTGCAGGGTCCTAGTCCGTCACTCCTCCTTAGTCCGTGGGAATCTGGTTTGGTTTTGCTTGGACAATATTATTCCCTCCTTCACCCTCTAATCGAACTCTGAATCCCTTTTGTCGACTTGTGAGAGGCTATACCCAGACTCCTCCCACAACACACGACCCTTTTCGGCGCCAGACGATGAGTAGAGCATGATCGAGGCTGTTCTGGCTTGTCCTTCTCGTTCTTCGTGGTACCTTCGAGGGCCCATCGCGGTCGCTCGTGTGGACCTTGGACCCTGAGATCATCAAACAATCGCCATTATCACCTCTGGCCGACCGAGACTTTCGAACGCAATGGCTTCCGTCCTGGAGTACACGTCCGTTGCGCGGCCTTACGCTCTACTGATCTTGCTGGTTCTGCTGCGGTGCGGCTCAGCCCAGATGTGCTCCTTCTGGGAGTCGGGTTGTATCGACCCGCTTGCCCAAACCGCCGTTCCGATTGACTTCTCGCCGCTATTTCCAACCCCTATCACCTTCTACTATGGCTTCGATGAACTTATATCCGGTAAAGGCCAGGGCCCGATGACCAAGACCAGTTACTGGCTGCGATATCAGGATCGCAAGATCGATAATAATCAGGTGAAATCGAATCGGACCTCCGAGGTTGCATTGCGTGTGGGCAATCTCACCGGCACGCCGTCGGGAACTACAAATGGCTGCGACGGGATTTGGGGGAACCCTTGTTCGCATGATATCAAAGGTGCTCTGCAGCATGACATCTTCCGCCTTGCTACGTCGGGCGAATACTATTCCAAGCCTCTCGAAGCGACATTGGCCCACATGATGTTGTACCCTCCTCCCCTCCCGAATTGTGGAGCTCCTATCTTTGATGTGGCATCCATTCCTGTGCAGGGTATGTGCCTGATTCGGTACTCTCGAAGTGTTGACCTTGTCCACTAACCCATGACCTCTAGAATTTGCCAAGGAGAGAATCCCAGGTCCTAATGTCAGTGTGATGCCTCCGGGCTCGGGCCATCACCCGTGGCAGGTTTG